CAGAGGTCCTGCGGACGTCTTCCGCAGCTTCCATCCAGGTGGTGCTATTGGTGCTGCTGCTGCTGCCGCCGCCGCAAGTGGCACACCACTAACTACGCCCTCGAGCTGCGTCTCCTCAACTACATTCGATTCACCCTCTTCATCAATTTCACTACCATGGGAGGACCTTAATGGGAGCTCGTCTATCCCTCCTTTCACTCTTCAATCACCGCCTGAACATCGCCGCATCCCCCTAGACAAACTGGTCCCACTTGATCAAATCCCTACAGTCAGAGCATCTACATCTGACTCACCCGGCGAGGTTCGGTTGCTCGATATCCTCCTTACAGCCATTCAGCACCCAAATGCCAAATCTTGGGTATTCTTATCTCCATCTCACATTGTCCCGCCACGGCGCATTCGTTCTCTTCTGTCACGGCATACAAACGTCGATATACGTGTCTCTGACGCTCTGGCTAAGGACAACCAGCCTCTTGCCGTGCACAAAGACAATTGGCTTTGGGTGCCGGAGTGGACTCTACTCTCCGATGTCCGCAAGCTTGTTCATGCGTCCCGGGACGGACCAAATCCACTGTCTATCGTTGCAGTTTCGAAAGATCAATCATGGTCTGGCTGTGTAGGGGTAATGGAAGCCGAGGAACTCTGCGATGGATGAAAATGAAGCTCGCAAGTACACTCGCTTCAAAAAGATATTCGAACTCTTCTTCTTGCCTATAATCTCTTTTGGACTGTACAAACATCCGCATTTCTTGGTGCGGTTGACGATGTTACGCCTACTGTTCAAGTTGCCAGCCTGGGCAGCTATACATACTACATTTATTACGATTTGCATTCTACATTTAGTCGATGAACTATCGAACGAAGCATCCTATCAAACTATCTTTTCAGCCAATACATAACGTTCCACTATGCGAATAGTATTACTTTTTTTTTATTGCTATTCAGTACAAAACACAATATGCAAAAATTCTCTATAATACACAATCCCACCACCCTCAATTTTGGTAGTGAACAATGGGCTGAAGACCTCCACTCTCCCGATACAGCAAACCAAGCTGTAGAGATCGCATCCCCTCGGGGATATTTAATCTTTCCATATCGGCTGTTCTCAGCTCTTTATTTTTGAACAAGGATCTGAATTTTCCCCTCATCTCTGCAAGCAACCTTTCGACAAGATCCCCCTTGACGATAAAGCGATGTTCACGTTTGAATACCAAGTAGCGGAATCCAATATGAAGAGACTCTGGAATGAGAGGCACCCCCTCCCCACTATACCGACACATCAAGCCCGATTAGACTGCTTTAAGCCTTGACAACAGGCTTGATACCCTTGTGAATAGCAGCAATACCACCAGTCAAATTCTCATAGCCTTGACCAGGGATCATAAACCCAGCCTTCTGGATCATACCACGGAACTCATCCTGGCTAGGAAAACGCTCAATACTCTCAACAAGATACTGATAGCTGTCCCGATCACCCGCAATAACCTGTCCAATGAGGGGGATAGCACTGAAATTCCAACGCTTATACACAGCATCGAAGACCGGGTTATCCACCTTACTAAACTCCATACAAGCAAAGACACCACCGGGCTTGAGCACGCGGAAAGCCTCATTCAGCGCAGCCTGCTTATCGGTGAAGTTGCGGATGCCGAAAACAACCGTGTACAGGTCGACCGAGTCGGACGGGATGTGCGGCATGCTCTGGGCATTGGCCTCGATGAAGTCCAGTCGCGGGGTGTTGTAGTAGGGGGTATCGATTGAGCGCTTGCGGCCCTCGGCCAACATGTCGGCGTTGATGTCGCTGATTGTGACGCGGGTCTCGAGGTCGTGGTTGATGTTTGTGGCGTGGTCGAGCATGCGGAAAGCGATGTCGCCGGTCCCGCCGGCGATATCGAGGATATTCCAGCCCTTGGTCTTGGAGTTGGCGTCGCGGTTGGCGACGGGTGTGCCGGGGTTCAGCGAGCGGACGAAGTGGTCTTTCCAGATGCGGTGGATGCCCAGGGACATTAGGTCGTTCATTGTGTCGTATGATGAGGCGACGGAGCTGAAGACGGCGCCGACTGCGTACATGTTTTGTTAGTACAGTTTCTGGGAATGGATCCAATTGAATGGTCTCTAGTGGCAGGAGTAGACTCAAGCTTACCTCGCGACTCCTTCTCATGCTCGGGGACATTGGTAAAGCCGAAGTGTGTCATGCGCTCCTGTTCGGACTTGGGGTCTTGAGCCTGACGGGTGCAGGAGAAGCAGCGGTAGGGAGTAGGGGGCTGGAAGGCACGGCGCTTAGCACTATAGTGCAGCGCTCTCCAGGCGGACCGAGTCGACATAGCTGGAGTGAAAAGAGGGTGGGGATTATGAGAAACCGAAAAAGTGCAAAAAGGTCCAACGATTGACAAAGTCCGAGGCCGATCGAGACTCGGAAGGAGCTGCTGCAACACTTTTCGGAGGGAAGGCGCGACCCACTTTTCTAGCCTGCGACTCCCGAGCACAACAGCCAATCAGAACACTCCATTTGCGAGGCATCCAGTAGTTCAAAGACCGAGGCCATCTACGAGTACTACTAGTACTAGTAGTATGCTTTGTAGATCATGTTTAGATGAACCGGATTCTACGGAAGTGCGGAGTTACAAAATACCTGTGTGCTATCTCCGATTGATAGTGTCAAAGGAGAATCCTGGGATCACATAAATTGAGATGCTTCCCTACCAACTGTTCACTTCAAGTTTCAAACCCTGTCAATATAACAACAACGAAATGGCTTCTAATGAACTTTCACACTGCTGTACCATTGGCGCTCTACACGATGGCGAAGTTAGAGGCGAGATTAAAAACATCCAGAGCAGTACATTTCACCCTGCCATTACCACTGCCGGCGAGGGCCTTGGGGTATACTAATCACCTGCACAGTCTCAACATACTTCGCCTATCCAGCCAATAAATCTACCGAAAACGCAATCCTCATATTAACCGACGTGATCGGACACCAACTCATCAATGTCCAGTTGATCGCAGACCAGTTCGCCGCAAAGGGCTATTTCGTGCTGATCCCTGACCTATTCAACGGCGACTCCGTACCGATCAATCGTCCCGAGGGCTTCAACATCATGGACTGGGTGAAGAACCACCTCCCCTTACAGACAGAGCCAATCATCAACACCGTCCTAACAGAGATGCGCGGTAAATTGGGCTGTAAGAGAATCGGCGGTGTTGGATATTGCTTTGGTGGGAAGTATGTTTGTCGCTATCTGAAGCATGGTCAATTGGATGCGGGCTTCATTGCACACCCTACTATGGTTGAAGCCAATGAGCTGAAGGGTATTGAAGGGCCGTTGAGTATTGCGGCTGCCGGTGAGTCCTCTTCACTTGTTTGGTCTTGGTGTGCGTATGGCTAATCAAGATAAAATGTCTGTAGTGCGGGACTTTATTTTCACCACCGAGAAACGTCGTGAGAGTGAGGATATTTTGGATAGTATGGATGTACCATATCAGATCAACTTGTTTGCTGATGTCGAGCATGGGTTTTCGGTTCGCTGCGACCTGTCGAAACCTCGTCAGAGGTTTGCGAAAGAGCAGGTGTTTAGTCAAGCTGTTGCTTGGTTTGACGAGTATCTGAAGGATTAGTCGACTCATGGTATACAAGGAGAGAATAAGGTCATTGTCCTTAGGTCGTTGAATTATTCGAGTAGTTAGCTAGCCCTGCCGTACATTGGTGTGAACTTAGTTTTGATACACCAGAAATGGCAAACAACCTCATTCTTGCGGATAGTCTTCATGAAGCCAAGGATCCTTCAGTAGCTCCTTCGCTGTACTTCGCTCTTCTGGATTCCACTTGATCATTCGTTTCACGAAGTCAATAAATCTCTTTTTCTCTTCCCTGTTGAACTTGGAGAGAGTATTTTCGAAGCTAAAGTCGCTAGAGATAAGGTCCGGATTTAGCTTATTTAGTTGCAGCTTCCTTGAAGTTTGGCCATAGTACTGGTACCACTATCCATCATATACAAACCTTGGAAGCCCTGGAGTCTGTAGAGACAGGCGACCGCTGGGATAGTCAGCTTTAATAGCCCTGGCGGATCTACTGAGCCGGGTTGCCGCTATTGAGCGCCGCAGGCTTTACTAGGTAGCCCCTAATCGAGAGCACCGCAGTGTTGCTGCTAAATATGCCGAATATTAATAAATCTCAGCGGCAACGAACACACCTCGCCTACCGACCCAAGTCGTCACGTCTCGGGCAGAATATTCAAGATGGGCCGCCGCCTTGTGTCTTTCCACGCATACATGAACGGAAGAGTCGTGTTCTCCAAGGCGAGCTTCAACTTAGCGCAGGAGGAGAGCCTCGATGAAGCAGAGAAAGAAAAAGCTTCAAATGCGGAGTGACAATGATGCGCCTACCTCGGAATAATGAACAGATGAAGCAGAACGGTACAGAGTTGCTTTAAATCAGGTCAACTGGGCAAACCCAACCATCCGATGAGTAGTAATATTAGTTCGCTACGGAGTGGATATCGATCTTGCCGGGAAAGAGCGTTTAATAAAAGTTGTGCAGTGGCACTAGCCGTGGTGAAATAACTCAGATAGTAGTTCTTCGATACTAGTTAAATGTCAAATCAGAATGGATTGACTAAAAAGGCTCTTCCTTCGTGTCCCATGGCCTTAGCTGTATTGGCCCGAGGATATCAGAGCTGTTGGTCAAGGAGACGATGAGAACTCCGAAATCGACAGATGTCCAGTCAAGGGTAGATCATAACCCATCAGCAAGAATTTGGGGTCTTCGCGGCCAAGCAGTCAATCTCACCCGACTTCGTCAGACGCTATATCCAGTCATGGCCTGTTGTGGCAGCAGCATTGACCCTAACAATGCCTTCGGACTATTCCAGCCTTTCGAATTCAACTACGAGATCTTGAGTATTACCTGAGGAACATCATGTAGACTGATGTCTGCTTCCTTCACTTCGAACTTCCTTTGTATGTCTGGTATTAACACTGTATACCCCTCAAAAGAATCACTCAAATGCCAAAGGCAAGAACCCCTCAGAATGCGAATTATCCAACGGCCATGGCCAGTCCGATAACAGTTCCGGTGGAAGCTGAAATTGTAACATCGGGTCTCCAATAGCCGGTGCTGACCCGACAGCATGAGGTGGCCCACTATGAGCATACGGCGCGGGTGGAACGGCCGGTTCGTGTTTGATATTCATCAGGATGGCACTGCCATTCGGGGGCGGAGGGGCAACTGGAAGATTAACGAGGCGGGAATTGCGCATGTATCCGTCTATGCGATCGACTTGTGATCTTAAACGTTCACTAGCACCTGCTGCACGGTGAAGACCGGTTTCGAGGCGATGGAGAAGATCGGCCATCTCAAGTCTGTAGTTATCAGTAGTGGTTCTTTGTGCGTATTCAGAAATGATATCCATACAGTAATGTGCGAACTCGTTGGTAAGATGCGTCGGATAGACTGCCTTCCATGACTGAGCCTAAAATGTAGCCGATGCCACCAAGATGATGAAGCTTTTGGTATGTCAGCATACTGAGAAATATGTCATGGTATGAAGGACTTACCAGAGGGGAGCTGATGGCTTTGAGATACTCCACGGGAACCTTGGAAAATACGCTGAGTAGTTCACCCGCCACGTCACATTTCCGGTCCACGCCAATTTCCTCCGCGGACAGCAAGACCATCCGGAGAAGCTGTAGCGTTGCCTGGATATTGGCGGACTGAAACCCAAAGAGATCTTTCCCGACATCGCCGGTGGTCGGCGGTGTTTCTCTAAATTGTGGGGGAAGCGCAGCGTACATGGAAAGTACTCGCTCCATAACAGTTGGCTCGGACATGTTCGCAGGGCTAAACAAAGACCAAACTTCCTGGGTTCCATTAGCCGATGAAAAGCGGCGTCTTGTGCCATCGACGACGTGCTCAAGAATTCGATATAAATCAGTTGTGAAATTCCAACCATGCAGCCAGGACACAGGGGGGGCGCGAGCTGCCCGTTGGGTCTACGTGACCTGGGGCAGTTGACATGGGTGATACGGGTGGCATATAGCCTTGATGGGTGATGAATTCATCGTTCAATTCGACGGGGTATCGAACAAGAGAATGAGCTTCGCGATATCGAACGACACCTCCCCACACGATGCATGAGTATATGTCCAGGGTATAGATAGACCAAAACTATAGTCTTGTTAGCGAAGGAACGCTGTTATTAAGCTCGTGTGCGTACCAGTCTTCGACGTTCTTCGGTCTCAATTGGGCTTATGTCCTTGGGCCAGAGCTTCTCATCATGTAACCCTTCCATGCTGGTCAGTGTGTGATAAATGCCGGAGTATTTCTGCATGTTCTTTATGTGGCCATTTTGAATGCTGGCAATTGCCAAAATCGCACATGCTCGCATATAGTTCATCCCCTTTGCAGCTGCAAGATCTCGCGGTAGGGCGTCTTTAGCTGCGGCATAGAATGCTTCGGAGGGTGGTTCGAGAAGTTCTTCTCGATGCCACCTGTTACTGTACAACGCGCCGTCCCGGGCGCGGCCTGATACCAATGAGCAGACTGCCATTGTCGATGCAAAGAGTCCCTGGTTTGTGAGATGCTCTTTGTTGTTTATGCTCGCGATAAATGATTGCTTGTGAAATAATGGGAAGCTGGAGCAAGGGGAATGGATGTCAATGTATACATTCAGCACGAAGCAGGATCGGGGGAAGATCTCACATTGGATAGACAATTTCGAAATAGACTTGGACCAGATTTCGAATTTGTCTGTCACTCGCGATAGCAAATGCTTTCCATGAATTGCGTAGTGCTCCATCATCGTCATATCCCTCTGCCGTCGACCATCCCGAATTGAATGAAGACCAAGGATCCCCGGTCAGGGAGGGGCGGTGGCCCGACTCAGGGTAGGTTGAACTCCTGGAAGCCGAAGATCTTGAAGCTCTATCAGGAAGTGTGACTCGGGGAATGGGAATACTCTCAGGCATAGCTGTGGTGACTGAGGACTCTCGCGCATTCAGCCGGGTACCAGCCTTAACGCCACGGCGCTTAGCCGGGCGATCAAAAGTACAAGCGACATCAAAGTCAGCACAATTTTGACATCGGCCTAGCTGGTCTTCGCCTCGGGTGCATTTAATGCTGCGCCGATTGCAGAAGTCGCCTAAAGGGGTGGTGGCTGTCAATTTCACATTCTCCCGTTTATCCGCGTAAAACAAGGGAAGTGGAGAAAAAGGCGTGGCAACGCGGGGAGGCGAAAGGAATGCTTACAGGCCTTAGAGACGCGCTGGAGCTTTCGTGGTTTTTGCGACATTCAATATGATTGATCATGCCACACACGGGACACGGGACAAAGCACGGTTCTCAACAGCGAGGAGGCGTCTCGGCTGCAGATTTTGGGGCCGGGAAAAACGGGGGTGAGGGTGCATTTGGTTAATTTGACTGCCTGAGGCGGGAATCTTGCCAAATGCGACCCTGGTTGTCATGTGACCAGATTCGCCATCAGGAAATGAAATACACCTATATAGTATGTACAATGTACTATGGGCATACTTCCAATCTTTTTTTTTTCATCCTGTTCCCTTGAATTTCGTGAATTTGCTGCTTATCAACGGGAGAACGGGAGAACGGGAGCACGGAGCACTGCCAGTGCACGGGGAATCCGGGGGGATGAACGCGGGTTCGGGTTCGTATTCCTGGTACTTGGCGTTTGGTCCCGAGGTTCGCGGGAAGAATAGCCGTCCTATAGTTTAGGTATGTCGTCCCAAGCTAGGGTGACCCAACTACTAGGACAATCTTCCGGTATAATTTCCAAGGTTCAAGAGGGAACTTGAAGCTCGCGAGAAAAAGAAGTAATCATAAAAATTAATATTTCTCTATTCACTGATGCTCTAAAGGCGTAGTGGCTGTCTAAATGGTACTGGTACAGGTCGTGGTATAATAGTGGTGTGGGATGGATGCAATCATCGAGTCGGACATTAAACCCATTAAGCCGTGAGTACAGCCGAGCATTCTGGCTCGTCTTGACTAGTTGTCGATGCCGATTTGGGCAAATCATAGGTTTCGTTCTTAGTGACTCCATGCGACACCAGGACATCACCATGCAGTTTATAAGCCTGTTCCATCCTCCAATGGAAGGGACTGCTGGTTGAGAACAGAGCTTCAATGGACTCAAGCGAGCGGTTCCGAGTCTCCGGATAGACTGTAGAGAGAGAAAAATCAGTTCATGGCAACATCCCATTTCAACGTCAAGACTGGACTCACAGAGGAACACGATGGGGATCCAAATCAAGTTTAGCCCAGCAAGCAGGAAATAACTCCGACTCTGAAAAAGCATTTATTAGCGGGTCGCCGTGTGATTAAAGTACCGATATAACTTACAAAAAGGTGGCCAAACATAATGGGATTCACCAGAGTAGTCATCCCCACACCAATGGCCCAGCCAGTAATTCCAAATCCATTCCCCTGCGCTCGCAGGTCACTGGGGAAGATTTCAGTCGGAATCAAAAAAGCAACAGTACCCCATGTAGCAGCATAACTATTAACGATTAGTTACCATGGAAATATAGTATCCGTAGATCTCAGACGTACCCTAAATTAAACAAGAAAAGCATTGTGACCGCAGCAGGTGCATATGCCTTGACATCCTCTGGATGGTGGTACGATGCTTCATATACCGCGCCGGCCTGCACATAGTTAGTACGGCAAATTTCATCGGGGTTTTGAGGTTCAGTCGTACAATCAGGTTGACTGCAAACAGCACAGCCGATCCACCCATCAGACACGCTCTGCGACCCAGGCGATCAATGATCTGAGCACTTATAATGGTGCCAAGTATTCCAACTGTATTGACACCTCCCGAGAGACCAGCAATCTGGATTTTCGTGTACTCCGCCTGTTCGAGGAGCACTGGAGCATACGCAGTAACAGCCTGAAGTCATAAAATCAGCACCATGTCCTTTGGTTGCCTATACGGGACGGCCTATACATACCGTGATACCTGTCCAAGATGCCATAATCTGAAGCCATATACATAACCATGCTCGTCGGCCCAGATTTGTACCTTTCTCTCCGCCCTTTCCACACAAAATCTTTGCAAATTGTAAAGGCGAGCTTGGCTTGCTGTACTTTGCCGTGGTTATAATTTCGAGATATTCACGATCGATCTCCGCTGGCGTAGCCTTGTCTTTACGTAAAAGCGTCAACAGTTCATGCGCCTCATCCGTTCTTCCAACTGAGGCTAAATATCGAGGGCTATCGGGTAGCATTTTGATGAACAATGCAAGAAGGAGGGCGGGAAAGCATTGGAAAGCGAGCAGGAAACGCCATCGAACGTCGGAATATCCATGATTGATGAAGGAAAGGCCGAAAGAGATCCAATATGCAACAGAAATTCCTAGATCTGGGCTTTGTTAGCCTGAGGCTCACGGGTGTATGGTGGTGGAGGTGGAGTGGAGGCACAAACAGTTGGCAATGAAAACGTAGCCCAAGAATCCTCCTCGATTGTTCGCTGTCGAGGTTTCAGATACCAATACCGGGGTGATACCAGTCAAAGCTAGACAGCCCCCACGAGTTAGTGTTAGTCAAAGTTCTACCAGGATGGGTCTCGCTAAATGACACTAGCAGGGGTACTCACCACCGGTGCCAATCCCTGTCACCACTCTGGCGCAGATCATGAAATTTGAGTTTGTGATGGCAGCTTGCAGGGCTCCGCCCACCAAGGCAAACAGAGACCCTGCGAGCAGTCCATTGATACGTCCAACGCGGTCTGCAAGCCATCCGCCAGCGAAGCAGCCAAAGATCGCGCCCAAATAGTAGACACTGACGATACCCCCCCTGATGCGTTGTGTCGGTGACCTTTCCATCAGCGGTGCCAATACCGACCAAGGTCACGTAGGTAGGGGAGGAATTGACACCTCCCATAACACCCTGGTCATAGCCCTCGAAGAATATGGAGATGAGAGAGAATGTGTGAATGGCAACACTCAGTTGCCGCGGTGTGAGCCGCTTCCAAAGCGTGGTGTATCCCATGACGCGTTCAGCATCAGAGGCCAACCTGCAGCTCGACGCGCCGAACAATCCTTGGCATGGGGCGATCTCAGTTCTAGATGTAAATTAAAGGCGCCAAGAACATCTGGGGAACGCCTAGGAGTGGTAGATCGTATGAAATTTGGCGGGAGGAACCACTCTTGAAGCGCGTAACCATTTAGCACCGGCAGGATTTGTTGCATTAGCCTCACCCCTAAATAAGCGTTTTACCGGTTGTCCGCCCCCGTTCAGGCGGTCTGGCTCTTGATGGTCTTTAAGCGGTGGCAGTCTATTGGCAGTCCATTGGAACATCTAAGATGCATGAACACCCTCTTGCAGCTGAGATTCTTTGGTTCTCGCCAAAATTCGGTCATGGGGCTGTTACTGTGGAATTGTCGATGGCAACCCCCGGTCGCATGGGGGCTTTTTATACAGCCCAATCTCCCTTGGATTTGAGGGTCTATATTTCAATTTCTTTGTTTCCCAGTGACATCACCATATAGTTCAAAAGGTTTAGCCCTTGATCGGATCAACCATGGGCTCAACAAACCCCACAGATGAGATCTCTGGCTCTGCGTTAGATTTGACTGTTCTTGGTCTCAACAGTGGCACGTCGATGGTGAGTGGTTTTTACCATCAAAGAAAGGTAGTAGTGACGATCCAGCTAATAATATATATCATCCAAGGATGGCATAGACTGCGCACTTTGCCGCTTTCGTCAAGAGACACCGGAGTCGCCGATGCATTTTGAGTTGCTAAAAGTAAGGCTGATCCACTGAACTCACATCAAACACCCCTTTGAACCACACTCTAATTGAATCAATCATCTTCTAGTATGGCGAAATTCCATTGGAACCAGTGATTAAGAAGCGAGTCATGAATATGATCCTGCACAACCATACTTCGCCCTCCGAACTCTCAGAAGTAAATGTGATCCTCGGCGAGACGTTCGCATCCGCCGTACATCAATTCTGCAAAGAGTTTCAAGTCGAGATCAACTCGATCGACGTTCTAGGCTCCCATGGCCAAACGATTTGGCTTCTATCCATGCCACAGCCTGGCGAGACGCGCAGTGCTTTAACGATGGCAGAAGGCTCCTTCTTGGCATCTCGCACCGGTATTACCTCTGTCACCGACTTTCGTGTCAGTGATCAAGCAGCCGGTCGCCAAGGGGCGCCTCTGATAGCTTTCTTCGATGCCCTTGTACTGCATCATCCGACCAAGCTACGTGCCTGCCAAAATATTGGCGGTATTGCAAATGTTTGCTTTATCCACCGGATACCCATGGCGGAGTTGATGCTTGCTATGATTTCGACACGGGCCCTGGAAATGTCTTTATCGATGCTGTCGTGCGATATTACACAGATGGCCAACGCGAATACGATAAGGACGGTGAGATGGGCGCCCGGGGATCTGTAGATCAACAGCTCGTGGACGAGTTCCTGAGACATCCCTACTTCGCTTTAGATCCTCCCAAAACTACTGGCCGCGAGGTTTTCCGTGACACGCTTGCACATGAGTTGATTAAGAAGGCAGAGGTCAAAGGCTTGAAACCTGACGATGTCGTTGCTACTATCACTCGCGTTACTTCACAAGCAATTGTCGATCATTACCGTCGCTATGCACCCGAGGGACTTGAGATCGCAGAGATCTTCATGTGTGGTGGTGGGGCGTATAATCCAAATGTTACGGCTTTCATCCAGGAAAATTATCCTAATACCAAGATTCTCATGCTTGATGATGCTGGGATTCCCGGCGGTGCGAAAGAGGCCATCACTTTTGCCTGGCAAGGCATGGAAGCGATTGTCGGTCGCTCGATTCCAGTTCCCACCCGCGTTGAAAATCGCCAAGATTATGTATTGGGTAAGGTATCCCCAGGAAAAACTACCGCAAGGTTCTACGTCATGGTATGATGTTCGGTGCTGGTCGTGATCATTTGGCACCTGTTAAAGAATTGGTGAATTATGTCAATGGTCGGGTTTTTGATAATAAATGGTGATTAGGCACGGGCGAGAGTATCGACGTCTCTTCTATTAGCATCATAAATTTGGATGAAGCATTCTTTTTGGGGTTCCAACTGCTAATGGTTTGATTGCAAAAGTTTTATACCAATGAAACCTCCTTAGTTCACTTCAAGTCGCACAGGAATGTACTGCCAGTGGGGAAGCGACGCCTTAGTGGATAAGTGCCAAAGCTTTTGCGACAGGGCAGTCAGTGGCATGATAGCATATTTTCTAGCTTTAAGGCACCACGCGAACACATTGGGCTACTTACTTTCCTATCGTAGTTAGCCTCTGCGGCTCTTGTCCGATGACACTTGTGTAGTTAGCGGTAGCTCCATACCATAGTTAGCTCCACCTGGAACAACCGTGCGTCAACTGAGCCAAAACTACGGATACATTCCTTCCGGAAGCTCGTGAGAAAAGAACATAAAGGGGATGGCGATGAGCTCAACTTTCGAACTGGTTACACAGGAATGGTGGATCGTCATAACCCGATCAGCGGGTGACAAAAGAAATTGAGACCATCTGTAGACCTGTGCAACTGGGACCCATGGGAGTAAGAATCAATTCCCATCCCATTTGCCAAGATCCCATGGGACTAATTATCAATCCTATCCCATCCCATGGGACCTGCCAAGACTTCTTGAATAATTGGTTTTAAATAAAATTAGTATTAATTAAAAGAGAATAAGTTAATTGATAATCAATATAAATTTTAAGTAAAATATATATCAGAGTGGTGGTGTGGGAACTTGCTACGCACATATATATTTTGACAAAGGTTACATGAAATATCAAAAATTACCTTCTTAGGTTAGATCAAAGATATACCCTAGCCATATATAGTTAGCGTATTTTCTATGGGAGTCCCATGGGACTCCCATGGGCATGGCCTTCAGTCCTATCCTATTCCTATGGGCTTATGGGACTTACGTAAGTGGGAATTTCCCACTTACATAAGCAGGAATCCCATGCACAGGTCTAACCATCTGTCAACGCTCACTACACTCACTTAATAAGGCACTCGTGGGTTTGAAATTGAATCTAAAACCGAGAGAAAATTGTCATATTTGAAACAATCAAGCTAAATTCAAATGACTCACTTCATTCGACTGGGACTTTATAGATCCGATCGGTGTCAGACGGGAGAGGACCGGCGATCGTTCGGTACCGAGATTATGCCGGGCACGGCACCGAACTGTACTGAAAATAACTCAACTCCAACTGGTTTCATGGCGATCTGATCTCGTTTCTAACCTATCATGTCTGGCATGTCCGATAATCTTCGCCCCCGAAGACCCAAGATATGTGAAGGCATCACGGCATATCTCGGTGATCGTTCGGCATGGAAGTATGATAGGCGTAGAAATTTGCCTTGGACTCCTTCAGAGCTGACTTTATAAATACCGAGTTTCTTCCAAGTGTAAATAATTTCACTCATATCGTTACTCATTCATCAAATTTCAAGATGGAAAATTCAATACCTCCCTCATCCACCCACAGCCACTTGGTTCGGGATGAGACCCTCGAAAGCCTGCGCAGTGTGGGAATAACAGAGAACGCCCCTGCTCCCGACTACAGCTACCCAGAGACGAGACGAAAGGAGCGCCCAGTATTTCCAGAAGAATATGTTGTCGAAACAAGAACTGGCCTTGTTCCCCAAAAGACTTTGGAACAGGTTCGATCCGTTTCATCATCAGCGACAGCGCGAGCGCCGGAAGACAATGAGAACGCCGATTTAGAAAAAGGGCCCAAAGATACACCCGAGTTCATCACCTTCACAATCAATGATCCAGAACACCCTTACAATTGGTCCCGCGCTTATCGATGGTACATCACGCTGGTCGCATCTGCACTAGTGGTGTGTGTTGCATATGGCTCGTCTATTGTTACGGGTGGCTTAGGCTTGATCCAAGAAAAATATAACGTATCTCTTGAGGTCGCTATTCTGACATGCTCAATCATGGTCTGTGGCTTCGCAGTTGGGCCCTTACTCTGGTCACCATTGTCGGAGATCATCGGACGAAGACCAGTGTACATCATCTCGCTTGGTCTTTACACGATCTTCAATATTCCATGTGCCTTGTCACCCAATATCGGTGGACTCCTAGTCTGTCGTTTCCTGTGCGGTGTATTTTCCAGTTCGGGCCTTTCCCTCGCTGGTGGGACTATCGCCGACATTTGGAGCATCGAGGAACGGGGTATGGCCATTGCCTATTTCGCAGCTGCTCCCTACTGTGGCCCCGTCATCGGACCGATCGTCACAGGCTGGATCAATGTTGGTACACATCGACTTGATCTATTCTTCTGGACAAATATGGCCTTTGCCGGTGTGATTTTGATTCTAGTGGGGTTTGTTCCCGAGACATACGCACCCATTATTCTGAAAAAGCGTGCTGCCAAAATGCGGAAAGAGACTGGCAACCCAAATATCATGACTGAACAAGAACAAAAGAAACTTTCGCTTGGTGATATTGCTCGAACAAATCTGATTCGCCCTATTACGATGATAATGACGGAGCCTGTCTTGGATTTGATGTGCATGTATATCATGCTCATCTACTCGATGCTATATGCCTTCTTCTTCGCGTACCCCGTTATCTTCGGAAAACTCTATGGCTATAACGACGGACAGATTGGCCTGATGTTTATCCCCATATTGATCGGTGCGGCTATATCTCTGCTGATCACCCCTGCCATTGAGAAGCAATTCAAAAAAGTCTGCCAATCTCGGGCTCCTACCCCCGAAGACAGACTTATTGGGTCACTTATCGGAGCCCCGTTCATCCCGATCGCATTCTTCTTGCTGGGAGCAACCTCCTACCAGCATATAATTTGGGTTGGACCGGCTTCATCTGGTATTGCCTTCGGGTTTGGTATGGTTCTGTGCTACTATGCCGTGAACAACTATCTCATCGACGCATATCAGAAATATCCCGCATCGGCGTTAGCAGCGAAGGTGTTCCTCAGATCTGGTGGTGGTGCCGCTTTTCCTTTGTTCATCACACAGATGTATGACCGCCTCGGACTACAATGGGCATCGTGGTTACTGGCATTCATTGGCCTGGCAATGGTTTTCATTCCTTTTAACTTCTACTTCTTTGGCATCAAGCTTCGTGCAAAACTTGGACGCGATTGAGAGGGAGAATTTTGGCGCCCGGAGAGTATCTGATTAGGTAATGGTATTAGAGTTTTGAGAGATAAAAATATGAACTATTTGAACAAAAGCCGATTTTTAAGAATGACCTGGGTGCGACTGTAGACAAAAGACAGTGTGTAGAATTTCCTAAGGGTTTAGGGTAGCAGGGTGGACCAGGCTCTACATAAGGATATGAATTGATGAACAGCGTTATTTCGTCATTGACTGGGCGGCTGGCCTAATGGAAAGGCGTTGGTTTTCGGTTTCTCTATCAATTACCAAAGATTGTAGGTTCGATCCCTGCGTCGCTCGTTATTTTTTTCCCTCCAAAATTTTCCCCTCCCCCAAATAGGACCAATGTTTTTGAGAGAGATAGGAAATGTGCATTCGAGCGACTTTTGGAAGTAAGATTATCAGACTACTAGTAATAGACTAGATCAATTCAAGTATATTTATGAGAGGCTCTAATCCGAAAGACTTTTATGTTCTGGACTCTACTACTACTATCGGGCATAGTAAAAGAAAAAAAAAGCCGAAATGGGAAAATGGAATTCAAGTAAGAGTTTCTAGCACAGAATGAGTCTACTGAGTAGTTGTTTGATCCCACAAGCTGCGAACTGTCACATCCTTGACCCACTTGCCACCAGTCTCATCTTTTTGTACATGGAACTTCAGCTTCTTCTTCTCGCCCGGGAGAAGTGTGAAATTATTCTCGTCGAAGTATCCCACGACACCCGAAGGGTAATCTAGCCAAGTGTAAAGAGAGACGCCGTTCTTTGCTTCAACAATGAAGGTATTGTCCTCTTCATCGAAAGAGACACTTAGGTTCGGGTCGACAAGCGAGAGCTTGTTTGGGAAGACGGGCGTGAATTGATTGCGGTGAGTGAAGGTAGAGACTGCATCCCCGGCGTTGGGCAGACGACCACGAGCGTTGATCGAAAGCACCAAGACGGCATCTGTCTTATCCGGAAGGGATAAACCTGACAGGCCGGTGGCGTAAATCTCAGTTGAATTGAGACCACCAACAGTGAATCGCTTGGTCCTAGGAGTACCAGCGTTTCCAGCAATAGGCTTTCCAGACAAATCCACCCAGGTCAGATTGACCGTTCCACGAGCAGTTTCCCAAAGGTCGGATGTGACGTAAACAGAGAGGCCTCCAGTGGTGTAGTTCCAGAACGGGGAAACAATGACGGGCTGGTAGATGTCCTGAGCCATGTAGTGGAGTTTCTTCCAGCGTCCATCGTACTCGATACCTGCCCAAGTGGGAGCTTGCCAGATATCCTCCAACTGCCAGTACAACGAGCCCAGCTGACGTTCAGGCATGCCGCTGCCACGACGATAGAACTGGATTTGAGACTTGTACATGTCTGCCTGGAACATCTGCGTCGCGTCACACCATGCGCTGAAATTTGCAACGGGATCATGTTTATTTGGGATCGGATAGTAGCGTTCGACAGCCATGGTCATTTCACCCATACCCATGGAGGCATTGTGGAAGTTGTCTGTCTCGGTGTCGCCGGGAGGATAGTGGTGGTTTCGGAGCACAACGGTACTGCTATTGAAATGAAGCTCATCATGGTCCACTGCTTGCTTCCAAGTCTGTAGACTTGGCATGCTGTGATAACCGAATTCATTCGCGAAGCGACCAACAGGGTAAGATCCATAGTCAAACGCGACACTACTGTCGTAGTTGTAGTGATCTGTATCCGAATAGTAGGATCCACTGGTAGTGTTGTCATACCGCTCGGCCATGGGAATTGAAGCAGAGAGGTTGACATAGAGATAGCCATTGTTCGTGCTACTGGGCATGTAGGAAATTGACCGCGAATTCTCGTACACGAGAGGCAAAATCAGACGAACAAATAATGTCTCGTACTCCCCGACCCAGTGCGAATAGTGTTCTGGATCAGCTTCCTTAATAAGAGGCAATTCAAGGCTTTCAATCTCGTTTCCACCAGCCCACAGGGCCAAGGATGGATGGTGATTCACGCGTCGGACGTTGTAGATGATTTCCTGTGCGACATTATCGAGGAACGGTTGATCGGTCGGGTACATCGCATCGCTGAATTGGAACTCGCTCCACAGCAAGACACCACGCTCATCAGCAATATCGTAGATGAAGTCGGGGAGATATGCACCAGATGACCAAACACGAAGCATGTTTTGGTTTCCAGCCACAACGGCATTGAAGAGGCGATCCATCTTCTCCTCCGTGACACGGGGCCAGAAAGCATCAGGTGGGATGAAGTTCGAGCCCTTGGCATAGAATTCCTGACCATTGACTTCGAAATGCCAATTTGCGCCCGGTGCAATGCCCTGGGCCAGTTGTTCTTCAGTAATGTTGAGTTGATTGAGGAAAATTGTGCGGAAGCCAGTGCGCTTCGTGACGCTGGCCAGTTTCTCCTCTCCCTTTCCCTCGATATTAATTGTTGCAGAGTACAGATTCTGCTTGCCTAGGCCATTGGGCCACCAGAGCTTCGGTGCGTCGGCGTCGATGGTGATACTACCGCTGACACTTTGTCCGGAAGTGGACACATCCTCGAGTGAGCCAGATTTAAGCACCTCGCCTGACTCGATATCCTTGATCTCAATGGTCATCGAGGATTGATCCGGAAGAGTTCCCAAGAAATCAATGCTTGCATTCACGACCCAAGGCTGGCTTTGGTCCGGGGCCAAATGATTGATCTGGCCTTTGCGGAAGATATCCAGGTCTGTGTTTAGGGGGGTAAACGCTTTCATTGTCATCAAACTGCACAAGCCATGCTTTCTGCCACGGTCCAACTGGAGCGAAAGCTGGTCCCCAGTCCCAGCCAAAGTCCGATTGTTCCTTGCGCATGAACCAGCGATTCGGGTACTCGTAGATCTGTTGTGGGCCATAGGGCCATGCTAATGGAAGAAAAAACTTTAGAATTTGTTTCCACTTCATTATGATTAGAGTCTTACTTTGTGAATTGGGATCTTCAGCGATCTTATTGACGATACTGGGAGCGCTGCCGAAGTTTAGGGCTAAAGTCGGCTCCTTGCACTTGCTGACGGCCTTTGAGATGTCAAAGGTATATTGTCGAAACTGATTGTCTGTTGTGCCGATAATCTGTCCACATATCTCGATGGTTGTGAATGTATCAAGTCCATTGAAAACAAGGTATGATGATTTGGCGTTTTTGGATCTGGACAGTGTTAGTCGCTTCACCATTGGATAAATGGGAACAATATGACTCACAGTCCCTTAATTGGATCGCTGGTATAAGTCCAGTTGTTGTTCACTATCCACCGGAGGTTGAAATCATTGAGACCGTAGTATCTTTCTTCAAGTTAGTGAGAGGCTTGTGGAATGGGTAGTAACTTGACACACGGATCATCTGGTATCCATATTAGCCTTTCTCTTTCCACTCCAATTCAATCGATAGTAGACTCACCGATCACGTTCGCAGCAAAGAGATCCAGGTGAGCTTGCGAGGGCAGGTGGCCGGGAACAGAGATATTCAGCGCCTTGCTGGACACAGTCCAGCCATCACCACTTAAGTCGACCACATGTTGTGACAGGACAGTCTGAGCTGTTGCAGGGAGCAAAGCCAGTGCGAACCTCTTCCATGAATGCATGGTAATACCGTGATGAGGAGGATATTCGTTACCAGGCGGGGCCAAACTCGCAGTTATATCGACTTCGGGTTGAGTCCCCCCCGACTTACCCTGAGGGACAGATTTGCTACCACCCCGGAGGGATACCGGCATTCAAGTGGAGACTAATGTGGTCTGATAGCTCGGCTGCTGTGATCAAACTGCGCTAAAGATGGACCGTGCCATGAATTTTGTCGATGGTACGGAGTAGTGTCTGAGATGGAGGTGATTAATATCGCCAGACTGTGAGGCGGGACTTCCACGAGCGGGGGTGAAAGCAACGGTAGCAGTGTTGAGTAGTGGGCAGGGGCGATCCCCCGGGTAATGAAGCAACGAAGCTCCAATTTTGAGGCGCGGGTGGTGGAAAAACGCGACGATCTGCATTGCTTGACTGTGGAGTCTGTGCTAGTATCTGCGGAGTCGAGAGGGGTAACCGATGCCGGGGAGAAGGGGCTACGAGGCCGTGAATACCTTGAGGATATGAGGATATCTCATGTTGCTGTGAGTTATAGCCCAGTGCATTTTGAATATTTGCAGATACCTAACAAGTAGATTGTATTGGGTAGCTCATGTTGACGTTCACGTTGTGGAATGAACAATGAACCCCTGGACCCCTGGATTCGGGAGCACTGGCCAACTTTTTGTGATCAGGGACATAGTACAAAGGACCAAACCTGTTCCAAGGCAGTCATCATCATTTATATTGTTCAAGTTTGTATATATTACATGGAATCAGATCTATTGCTTCTTTATGAAAAATCCGTGAGGTTATGGCGCATGTTCTGTACATCTTCTGGCGAAAACCCAAGCTTTGTGGTGAGAAATTCTTCGACGCCACCCTTGTAGGTGTTCTCGAACGACTTCAGGAAAGCCGCCATCGCCTGCGCTCGGACGCTACTGAGTTCAAGCATGCCGTTAGCCTCAGGGCTGAGATGTTCGATGCTGCCACCTTGTATAGCTAGCGCCTCAATCAGGTTCTCCCGGACGTTCTCCAGGGCGATGCGCGTGAGGATGTAGTCATTGATGATGTCGTCATGGGTGCGACCGATCAAAAGCAAAACTAGAGCCGCTAGAACTCCTGTACGGTCTTTGCCGGCTGTTATTTGGAAGCCAGAGTTAATGGATGATAGATCAACAGCTATAAAATCGTCTACTGCGCCGACTCGTTGCCGACACAGCCTCATACAGCTCATCGGGGGTAGAAACAAAGTTAGACACTTACCTGAGCAATGGAAGATAAATGGGTCGTTGGGCTGATCTCGAATGTGACTAAACACTTGGCTAAATGCCGGGGTAGCTGCATCGAGAATTCCGTTATACATCTTAACAAAGCCGGTCGCAGATGTGTCTTCTCCAGCAAAGTCTCGAAGATTCAAGGAAGCTGGACGGGCTCCGTAAGGCATCCATATTGTATCGACACCTTCAATCACAGGGCTAGGAGCCCTTAATCTCTCCCCTTCATTTCGAAGATCGAATATTGTGGTGATACCCAATTCTTTGGCTAAGATTGTTTTACCTTCCTCGGTAATGTCGGACAGGTTTCCCGAGCGATAGACATAGCCTGCGCGTAACCTTTCATCGTGGCTCAGGTCACGAAAATTCGAGACGCCCGGGACAGTGATGAACGGAGGAAGGGAGATAATCTTAGAAACTGTGGTTTCTGGAATAGGTGTCTTGATATCGGTCTTGAGCACCTCGCGCAGATTGTCCGTATTAATCATGTTGATGCAGCATCAAAATGCACTGGACAGGTTTAGATTAGAGAAGAACACGGGGTATTTTACTGGGAAAGATTGGATTTGAAGAACAGGGCAGCCCAGATACCCACGTCCATAGCCATGTTGACACTATGTCATTGCGTTCATCGCACGCTGGCATTTCCCTGGCAGGAAAGCCGTCGTCGGTGGGGTGGGTTCCACCCTGCAAAAGGAACGGGGTACCTATGACGCCAGGTCACGTCGGGTAACGATGTCATCGCATCGAATCCCATTTTGGAGCCGAATATTAGTGAATCTATTCGGTCAAGCCTCTTGACAAGTACCTGATATATTTCCTAGATTCCCTCTGTGGTCTTGTCTCAGCCATCACTAGTAGATTTTGATGATCATGGGAAATATCAAGGATACTATCAACTTATTTGCCCCCAGATCTCTCCATCCTTGGACTACAGCACTTGATTTTCGTGTTTGTATTTGCACCTACTGAGAAAAAGCAAAAAAAAAGAAATTGTACAAACTACTCCCTTGAAAAATGCGGAGCCATATTTGAGTGTCTGATCAGTATGACACGACCCAGTGCGGGTGATGGAATTGACTTTGCCTCGAATGAGCTTCTAATTGTATCCTTCTCCTCCCCGGTGAGCTATTTGCGATAGGTCTGTTCCAAGGAACACCAATAAATACCGCCCTCTGTCTAAGGGAAATATTCTAGGTAGGTGGCTAGCTTCTGGATACTACATCAAGCTTGGATCCTCGAGTTCGTTTAAAAAACAAAACAAAACAAAAACAAAACAAAACAAAAGCAAGGCCACATATTTATTCACTTGCTGCAATCTAGGCAGTCGATTGCAATAAATTTGGTTGACCGGGCGTGTGGCATCTTAATCAGCTACCTGGTTATGGCGTTTGGCCAATAATATAAGCCTGCGATGACCGCGATCTATGAATAGCTTAATTTTTATCCGGGTCCGAGAGAAAATGGCCAATTTGGCGCTTACTAGCGATCGCCCTGTACAAGGGGCTGGTGGAGGAAGCACTTGGCAAGCCCTTCCTCTGGGTATAACTCGCTTCACCCAACCTTGCAAAGAACTTGAACAGAAAAAATAACTAGACAACGATAGAACAACTTTATATATATACTAGTACTACACTGTATTCAGATTTATCTGTCGACACAGCTTTGTGTGTCACCAATAGTTATCTTGCATGCATACCGCTTCTCAGTCAAAAGTGGGGTTGATAAATCTAATCAGCAGATGCTACTTTTGATTTTCATTCCTCTAAATTACCGACCCCAATACTAGTAACCTCAAATATTGTGAAAATATACGGATAAGTTTGTCTAAGATGCCCCAAGGGTCTTCACGGGTTGTGAAACGGAAGGGAGGTGATAAGACACTTGAAGGGTCGCTCAAGGCCACTAAAGCACGGTCCTGTGATGCGTGCCGTCGATTGAAGACTCGATGTGAGATTAACCACGGATCTGGCAAGTGCCACAGGTGCAATATTCTCCGGTAAAGCAAGCCTATTTGATGATAAACTAATCTACCCTAGCTGATATATTAAAGACTAGATTGCTCCTTCCATGGTGTTATTCTCAAACCCAAGCTCCCAGCCCAAATGGAGATCAACTTGAATACAGGAGAGAACTATTCTGACCTGCAAAGTCGGTATGTATTTTCGCGTAGGATCTAATATTCAAACAATGAATTTAATTCACAGAGCAGGATTTCTGTCGTCGAAACATCCTTATCCGAGATCAAAGCATCGTTATCGTCACAATCTGCGGAGAGTTCGCCAAGGTCGCATGCTGAGAGCTTTCATTTCTCAAAGAAGTCGCAAAGCCAAACACGCCTTGTACCTGAACTAACCGCACTTTCAGTTGAGAGAACCACCCGCCATGCACCGATGAGTCTCATACAAGAGATCAAGGAGAATATCTCTTCGCCCGAAGAGACTTCTCAGTTCCAATTTCCCTCGGAAGATGTTATTGCTAATGGCATGGTATCCGAAGATGTGGCCCGGATATTGCTTGAAGGGTAAGCGCCATTTCTCCGTGAGACCCGATAGGATTGAATTCAATACAGTCATCCTGCAGATTTTCAAAATTATCTAGCCGCTGGCTGTTCATGAGCACGGACCCAGTTGAACTGCGTACAAAATCGTCCTTGCTATTCGGAACTTGCATCCTTGCTGGTATCCATATTACCCCATCCTTGTATGGATCTGAAACACACCAAAAACTATACAGTCATATCCAGGAAATATTGGCCCAGTCGCAACTTGTTGCTGGAGCGCCTCTTGATACAATACAAGCATTATTGATTTTCTCGATGTGGGATCTCAGGCCAACCCGGGACCACGATCATGGCAGTTCCTGGTTACTCAGTGGCGTAGCTGCCATGCAGGTTGTTATGGCCACACGCTTTGAAAACATGTTCCAGACGGATGACTATCAGAAAATCGCTCGTTCAAAAGAGTTTTCGCGTACTTGGAATCTGGTTTGCCTTTGCCATCTACAGTTTGTTTCAGCCCTTGATTCAGTCTAGAGGTGACATTGAACTCTGAAGAGCTAATCCCCCATTAGGTTCTCGATTGGCTTCGGTCGACCGCCTGTGATATCAGACCAATATTTAGATCAGTGCTCCAATATTCTTAAGTTCCAATCTTATAATTCCCGCGATGAACTCGTTTTGGCTGGGGTCGAGCTATATCGCACGCTTTGGGAGTTGATAACTTCGCATGAGATCCAAACTGACAAACCTGTCTGGCCTGAAATTGAAAGGCTCCGAGAAAGGCATGAGCATATTTACAGTGAGTAAGCTCACCTTGAAATATACTAGTCGTCTCTAATCATTTATCCCCGCAGATCTTGACTCCTCTGAGCCCCTTCGTTTTGCTTACTCCTGCGCCTTCTTGATTTTGGCGCGAAGAACACTACGACATATTAGCTACCTTCAGAATGAGGAACAAGATAGCCCCCAGCAGCCACATTGGAATAATTCCAAGATTGGATTCATCCAATTTGCAGTTCGTCACTCACACCAAATTCTAAGTCTGTTCCTATCGATGTCCGATCTTACAACTTATGTTCATCCCGCCTACGAGAATCTCCTTTGTTCCTTTGCCATGGCAACTCTAGTAGAGCTTGCAGATCATGTTTCAAATATATTTGAAACCACTACGCTGATGGAGCATGCCGTTTCACATATTCAGCGAGGTGGTAAGGCTGAGCCGGTGGGCCGTTGGTCCCTAGGCATCATGAAACAGCATATCATCGGAATTAATGATGAAGATCCGATTTCACAAGAAGAGATAGGTATAGCTGATGAGCTTCTTGATCCAACTACAGATATTATGAGATCATGGGAGGAGGTTGACTGGAATTTTGAGCAGGACTTTCCATCGCTTCAAGAAATGTTCTTTGGGGCTGTGCAATGAGCTCCTGCAATTTCATTTTTTTTTTTTTTGGTATTCAAGCCAAATTGATTCTCATCACGCAATAAATTACATGAAATTGAAATCAGTCGCGTGATCTGAGTCTTATACCAGCATAGCAATCCTTCGGCTTCTTTGAAAATCCTTCATGCGATTCCATGAACTGCTGGTATAGTACGAAATCGTAACGATGGAAGAGAGTTCCAATAATCAACTGCAACTCCATAATGGCCACATTCTGCCCAACACAGGCTCTGGGCCCATAAGAAAATGGATTGAAGCCCATCTTTTGCCGTGCAGTCAAGTTGAGCCAGCGATCGGGTTTGAATTCTTCAACATCATCACCCCATATTTCCTGCATATGGTGAACTGTATAGGAAGGAACTGATAGGACAGTACCAGGTGGAAAGTAAAATTCACCAAACCGGACGCCACCCCCATTGTCAGCGACAATACGTGGAAGACCGATAGCTGAAGTTGAGTGTAGTCGCATACCCTCGTCAATGCAACGACGCAAGAACGGAAGCTCTCTCACTTGACTGTAAGACATGATTCCCGAGTTCGAACTAGCGGCGTCATCTAGTTCCCTTTGGAGACGAGAAACGATTGTTCCTGGGGCACATCGTTCCCCGTGTAGTATCCAGTAGAAGACAGCGCAGGCGGTATTCGATATAGTATCGGAGCCGGCGATAAGCTGAGTGAGTGCTTCTGCAATGAGTTCTGTTCGTCCCATCGGCTGACAATTCGCGTCTTTAGCTTGCAATAGACGTGACAAAATGTCATTGCGAGTATCAATCACTCCCTTTTCCGCCGCATCTAGTCGCGAACCGACCGCGGCGACCGCGATTCCAGTTAGATTTTCCACCGCCGCAACTCCCTTCGTGAAGAAGGGATCAGGTAGATACTTTGCGATTGGGCGTAACGTGGGAAGAAGGCCAAGGGTCGAAGAGACTTCCCCTCTTCTGTTCAAAACTTCGACTGCCGGGCAGTAGGAAATAGGACCATCGGGTATGAGTTGTACCTCAGTTTCGTCTTTGCCCTTTTCCACCATTCCAAATGGAGACCCAAATGCCAGATCACCAATAATATCGAAAGCAAGATAGCTGAACCAAGGCATTGCGTTATATCTTGAATAGCCATCAATGTTTTTGCCTTCTCCAACTCCAGAGAAGGCGATCTGGTCGAGCTGATTAACCCATCGCTGCAAGTTTGCCGCCATGTGTTGTTCAAACGCAGCAACTGATTTTGGGGAGAAGGCATGCGAGATAATTTTTCGCTTCCTTGTATGTTCTCCACGATCGCGAACGTTGAACATGCCAGGGGTCCGGGCCACAAATGCTTCATAGTAATGGCTAGATTTTTTCTCAGTATGAGGAATCAGATAATTCACGGAAATTTGTGGCTTCTTACTCTTTCAAAAATCCATTCCCGTGCCCGTATACTATATTCAACGCCGTCTCGTCTGCAATCGAGACATGATTGAAGCCGATACGAACGACTTTGCCGTATTGGCGATGCGCCCAGTCTACTGCTGCATATTTTTGGCCACTTCGGGCACTTAATCCAATCCATATATTACTGAATTTGGCACTGAAGGGCCCTGGAACTTTGTTTATACGCCGATATGTCGTAAAGTAGGGAAGTATGTAGTAAAGGGTGAGGCTTATCGGGATTGCCAATGCCATGGCGAACGGCGAAAATAGCAGGGCCAATAGAGCCATTTTTAATTGATTTAGTTTAATCCCAGAAAGCTCAGTATGCAAGAATATTCATCGACGTGTTCCTAGGTTACTATAGTCGTTTTTAAATGACTTCTTGCGGTCGGGCCTATGTCATATCTTATCTTCCTCCGACGGAGATGATAATCAACGCCGTCGGAGCAGAATGCGGAGCAGCTTTCTTGCTATGTTCTGAACATGATAGGCTTCTAAGAAATAGTTTTCATTCTTTTGATTATCAGATACTCCGGAAAGCTAAGAGACTGGCAAAATAAGTAGTAGAATAGTAAACAAAGAACGGCCTTGTCTTGTATCGATGCTCTGCGGCAACCGATACGGCGACAAATGATATTCCCAGTTCCCAAGTGCTTGAATGCTTTAAGATGGGGTTTTTAGGGAATATTCCCCCGTTTCCGTATATATCAATTTTTTTTTTGCTGTCTGTTTATACTGACTGCGGAGTATACGAGTATAACTGAGTAAGGTAGTTGAAGAGTTGGGGTTCGCCTCGGTTGGAAGCGGGGCCAGTGACGCCAACTGCCGATGCCAACCGAACTTTTCTCCGCGTTTGCCCCGGACGTGGGGAGGTGACAGTGAACGGGTCCCTCACTTTCACTTTCACTGAGAGACTTGATCTTCGCTCTTTCAAGTTCTTTCCTCTGTCCTTCCCTCATATCTCTCACACAATGTCGTCCAGGATCGTTTTTCGACAGTCATGGCAAGCAGCCCGCTCCGCGAAGCGTGTTATTCCATCCCTCACATCCCCCGCACGACGATGGGGAAGCTCTATATCGCAGCGCCCAGGGTCGGATCGGTATGAAACTGCCAGAGTCTGCAATGGTGGAATTACTCAATTCATTCAAAGCTGACTCCTCTCCAGCGTTCTTTTCCCAGGTGCTGTTGATAGCAAGTTCACAACCGACATGTCTTTTCTCAAAGCCTCCGACCTCCCCGCTATCCCTACCTACCGAGTCATGGATTCCAATGGTGAATTAGTTGACAGCTCACGCAAGCAGCCAAATGTATCGGACGAGCAGGTACTCGAATGGTACAAGAACATGTTGTCAGGTGGGTAACGCGTTGCCATACGGTGGATGTGATCAAATTTGCTGATTCTCAACAGTGAGCGTTATGGACGTGGTGATGTTTGAAGCCCAGAGGCAAGGTCGACTGAGTTTCTACATGGTATTTATTAGAACGTCGCTGGGGAGAATGAAAGACTATGCTAATATCGCCACAGGTCTCTGCCGGCGAAGAGGGAATTGCCGTTGGCTCTGCCGCAGCTCTGACTCCCGACGATGTGGTTTTCGCCCAGTATCGCGAGGCAGGTGTCTTCCAACAGCGTGGATTTACCATTAAGGATTTCATGGGACAGCTGTTCGCGAATGTGAATGACACTGGAAAAGGCCGAAATATGCCTGTTCACTATGGCCAAAACTATCCTCGCATGGTAAGTCACATCATCATCGAGTTATCGATTATTTATCTTTCTCGAACTCACTTTAACGAACAAAATAGCATACTATCTCATCCCCTCTAGCGACCCAAATTCCTCAAGCTTCTGGTGCAGCTTATGCTCTCAAAATCCAAGATCAGCAAAACCCAGATCGCTCACCTCGCATTGTCACTTGCTACTTCGGTGAAGGTGCTGCCAGCGAGGGCGATTTCCATGCCGCATTGAATATCGCCGCAACTCGTTCTTGTCCAATTGTTTTCGTCTGCCGGAATAACGGTTTTGCCATCTCAACCCCCACATTAGAACAGTACCGTGGCGACGGAATTGCCAGTCGAGGTGTCGGGTACGGCATCGACACTATCCGGGTCGATGGAAACGACATCTTTGCAGTCTACGAAGCAATGGAAGAGGCTCGCCGAAGAGCATTGAGTGATGGCGGTCGGCCGGTTCTAATTGAGGCCATGAGCTATCGTGTCTCACACCACAGCACCAGCGATGACAGCTTTGCATACCGCGCCCGTGTGGAGGTCGAGGACTGGAAACGTCGCGACAACCCTATCATTCGACTGCGTAAGTGGCTTGAAAACAAGGGGCTTTGGAGCGAGGATCAAGACAAGGAATTGCGAGACTCGCTTCGCAAAGATGTCCTGAAAGAGTTCGGCGAGGCTGAGCGCGAGAAAAAGCCCCCACTCCGTGAAGCCTTCGCGGATGTCTACGAGGAGATCACCGAGGAGGCCCGAGAGCAGATGAAAGAGCTAAAGCGCATCTTGGAGACATACCCTGATGAATATGACCTGCGACCATACAAGGATGGGGCTAAGGGACTCGATTAGACTTAGACATTATACTACGTAATGGAATCATCAAAAATATCTAGCGTGATTTACTGACTTCTCTCCACCTCGGCTTCTTATACATGAAATCCTTATCAAAAGTCATCTTTGAAATGAATAGTACTAGTAGTAGTGCTAGTAATGGTAGACATGGGCAAACTCTAAAGGAGGCAGAATGGATGAATTGAACTGATTGAAGTTTATATCCATATACAAGAAAAGGGATTAGGTCTTGAGCAAACCACAAATGCGTTAAAAACTTGTGATAAGGCCAAACTCCAGTAAACGATCCACGACTAGTCAAACGAAGCAGCAACCTTTGTCACAGTCTCAACCGACATGTAATTATCAGTGCTGGTCAAGTATGCAGCCCCGAGTCCCATGCTCTGCGCTTCTTGGACAACAGCCCGATAATCCGCCGTCTCAGGTGCACTGTACAGAATGATAGCATCCTTGGCGTAGTGCTTGCTGGAAGAGAACTGTTCCGCCGGAATGCAAGTCTTCCACGCAGAGTATGAGTTCTCGAACTCGACAATCAAGTCCGCCGCCTTGAAATATTCATCCACGGAGCCTGCTTCCAATGTGGCGCCAGGGTTGAAGACCACTGTCGAGAGATCGCTGGACTTGGCTTTTGTCGATACGGTCTGCATATAGGAGATCATCTCGGCGTCGTTTGTTCTGGGCGCCTCGTCAAAGAAGATTCCCGAGACAGTAATGTTCTTTGCCTTGTACGAAGCCCATTTGCTATAGGTTGAGACTTCGCTTTCGATTTCTGAAATATCACGCTCGGCATATTCTGTGTGGACGTATCCGATGACCTGGACATTGTCATGGCTGTTTAGTTTGGCGACACCCGCGATGATGTTCTCATCAGGGTAGGCTATAAGTGGTGGTCAGAGCTTATAATTTCAGTCATAGAGATGGGCTTCGCTCTACCTGTTTCGCCGGGACCACTGTTGGGATTGACAATGACCTGAAATTGAACGTCCGGGTATGAAGAGATGGCATTGAATACGGGTGCCCAGGTAGAGTCATCCTCAGGCCAGACATATAGAGGAACCAGGATGCTCGTCGACGAGACGAGCGAAACAAATGCAAGGAATGCACTTAGAATAGTAGTAAGTCCAAGCATATTGGATGTGTTGAAATGAATGTATTTGAAAGGAGTGGAATAGATCGTGACCACCAGGGCTTACGATCTGAAATTGAAATTGAGCAAAAAAAAAGGAGCGACAAGAAGCAGGCCACAGGACTGATGAACCATCGCAAGAACAGGATGGACCGTTCGGATTTATACTCAGCTAATTTGCGAAGTCTAGATCCATTGAAGGATTCACAAACTCATTTCCCCAGTCCTCTCAGCCACGCGTTTCAAGAATGCGAACGCACACTCAATCAGGTCAAAGAACGAGTCATGATTGCCCCCATTCCAAACCAAGTAAGCCCGGGAGACAGCCACGAGGATCGATCTTTATTCCTCATTTCCTGGATTCAATCCTCCGGAGGAACTCCTCCAATCGCGAACAAGACTAGACCTGCAACAAAGAATGCAGTCACAAGCGCCCTCCATTCCGCCAAGCATTCAATATCAATTAAATGCCCGATACCTGGGTGAAATTCCGAGGCTTTCCGCAGTGTCAAACGTCTTGGCGGCGCATCTGCAGACAAGATCGCGGTGTCGAATACCAGGCCTTGCTAACTCGTCTCGATTTGCCGGTGAAAATGACAGCTCCTAAGCGCTGGCGTCGGTATTATCGATCCGCCGAACGCCACATGCAAGGCTGGCCCCTATCCCTAATTTATTTTCCGGTTTCAGATTCAAACCCACCCCAACGCTAGTAGCCACCTGGGCGATGCTTGGCCCCTTTCGTTTGTACAGTCATAACGGCGGAGAGCGTACCTACGAGGTCTTGGGTATGGCAGGGCGTTTATAGATACTACGGGTATTTTAACATTGCCGATTAATCCAGGACCTCGTCTAGCTGGCTCGGCAATTGGTAGGCAATTACTACCTGTAGATTTGCATGGGTCATGATTTATTCAAGTTTGTGCATGTACGCATACGTAGTGCTAACTACTCGTAACTAAATCTGCGGTGTCACTTGGTGGCTTGCAGTAAATTCTTCCAAGAACACGAATACAAAGAAGAACGGTTGAATCTAAAATTTTGCATTCCAAGTCCTTGCGGTATTCATACAGGCTTAGTAATAATACACTGAAAAAATGAGGGCTCCTCAATAGGGTGCTGTTGTCCACGTATTTTGTGACCCAATGTCTAGGCTCACGGGTTTGATCATGCGTTGGTATCTCCGACGATAGAGAGAGCCTGGTGCTGAACCTTCTTGTTTCGCCGAAGCAAAGCCGAAAACTTCTTTTCCAAAGACTCCAACTCCTTGCGGGTAGTTTCAAGGTCTTTCTGCGACTTGCCGGAAAGCTCCTTGAGCTCTTCGTTGGTCATGGCGGCAACATGGTCCAAGCTAGGATTACTCCCTGGCAGCGCGGCAGTGCCAAGCATCTGTTTAGCAGTGGCAGCAGCGAATGAACGAACGGCGGCAGTGGTGGTCTGGAGAAGTTCGGCCGAGTGGGCGACGGCCCAGTCATGGCTTCGAGAGCTATCGGCTTCCATTGCAGAAATAACATTCGGTGGAATCACGGCCTCAGTCGCATCCAGAGTACTGGTTGGAGAAGTGGTACCCATGCGAGTTGAGTCGTCATCAACCCAGTAAATGTTGTACTTCTCGGGTGTTGCAAAGAGTGCCTCTAGTCCGCCGTTGATGTTGCTGGAGTCATCGCCGACAACAAACGGATCAATAGCGCCGTTGCGACGCTTTTCCAAATCTAGATACCGTTGTTCCTCCGCCGGCTCAAGATGACGTAGAACGCAGCCGCGAGGGGTGATCAGGACGCGATTCTTTAGCTCATCACAGCCAGTTCGCACGGGCTGGCCACGTAACAGAGTCTTGCGGTGATCGTCCGTCAACTCGATAGGTTGCTTGAGGAGATCGTAATCATGGGAATTGCACTTCATGTCATATCGTTGGCTGAGATTTGCGGGGTTGAATAGCGAGCTTTTGTTGAGATCAAGGTCACCGGATTTGTGCATCGCGGCAAGGAGCTCATGAAGAGGCTTTGTCCGTTCCGCAAAAATGTCTTTGATGGAACGGCCTGACTCCTCGGCATCCTTAACCAGCTGCTCCACGGTGTTGCGAGAGCGCCAGGCCTCTTCTGGGACAATCTTCTGTCGGGTTGGCTCTTCTTTGAGGGGTGCTGCCTTTACCTCCGGAGGTGGTTGCTCTTTTTCCTTCACCTTCTTAGGAGGTTCGGGCTTGGGCTCGGGTTTCTTCGGGGAAGGGGCAGGTTTGGCTGGGCTGGCTACTTCGGTGGGCGTGTTGGCAGTCGAATCGGTCAATTCAGAGGTTAGAGTAGGCGCCTTCTTGGTCTTGCGTTTCCGTCCCATTATGGGAGCCTGAACAGGCTCTTCGGCAGCAGCCGTTGTCTCGGCCTTCTTAGCCTCAGCCTCCTTCGCCTTCTGGCGCCTTTCCTTTTTAGCTTGGCTCTTCGTCACAGAACGAACTGGAGCAGAACCAATCCGAGCAGGTGGAGGAGAGTTTGCACGAGATGCTGTGGTCGAAACATCAAAGTCGGCCTCTGAGCCAATATCGGCAGGTGTATCTGGACGGCTGTTTGATGACAAGCTTTGTCGGCGAGAACGTGACTTGTCGGCCCCGGTAGTCACAGATGGCGCCGTCCCAATGGGAAGAGGAGCTTCGGGCTTGGGAGTTTCTACAACGCGCAGAACTCGCGGTTGGCGGGGAGCTGGAGAATCAGAAGCACGAGAAGCTGCTGTCAGTGGGGTATTAGGTCGTGACCCAACGACAGACGCTGATCCTGCCACGGAGGCAAAGGTCCCAGAGATAGCACGCTCGGATTTGGCTGGAGTTGTTTCTTGAGCCAAGGCCGTATTCAGGGCAATTGGACTGGGTTTTATTCCAGTAGAGGGACTTTTCTCGGTATTGACAGCGAATCTCTTCTCCTCCGTGGCATCTGCCGAGTCCAGCTTGTTATTCATTCGAGCCTTTGAGCTGGGTTTGGCAACAGGGGATCCAAAAGAGATTTGAGAGGCATCCCTTATGCGGGCCGACATGGAGCTGGTTTGTTCTGTTGCTTCAGGGGTCATAGAGCGAGACTCAGAGACATTTTTCTGCGATGGACTTCCGGACCGCGAAAATCCAGTGCCCAGGCCTGGGGGGGGAGAATTGGAGCAGGAGAAGATGGTTTGGATAAACCTAACTTTTCTTGAAAGGCCGCCGATGAAGGGTGGGCATGAGGCAGAGGCAGTCCAGGTGGAAGTGTTGGGGTTCCAACCCGGCCAACAGAGTCGCTAGGAAGCTGACACTTCAGGAATCCGAAGGTATCAATGGGCTGGTTTTCTTTCACCGGTGTGCCCAGAGGAGGGAAATCCTCGTTCACTGCAGACCCCCTGTTAGTAAAGCTGTATCATCACAACAGGGCGGCGGTGCAAAGAGGAGGGTAGGTGAACGACGCCGCATGATATCAACGAAAAAAGGGTGGGAAGGGAGGGCAGCGACTAGGCAGGGCACAAAAATGCAGCATGCACATCCGCAATAACGACTAATTACACGACGTGCACCGACCGACCCGAGGTAGTCAGGTACAGGATAGGGCATAGTCTATGGAGACAACGGCAGTGAGACAACTGATTTCGAATAAGACCCTGTTCCGAGTTCGATAGCAGGGTAGGGAAGGTCTTAACGTACATTAATCAAGGAACAGCCACCGTCTTCAAGATGCTGCAGATAGCCGAATGAAGATTCGAATGCAGAATGAAAATTGGGGTACAGCAGCCGCCAGATAACATGAAAAGGGGCCCCCAGAGACATGCAAAAATGTCCACAAATGCAAGAACGCCATAGGCCATTGAGAGACAGAAAGGCCGGGGATAGGACATGCATGAAAAGAAATCGAGGCCCATCGCAATACGCCTGAGGCGCGCCGGCCAGCCGTACTATTCCGGGGCAACCTGCCCGATTGCTGAAAGCAAAATGCAAACCCGGGACATCATGGGTTGGAAAAGAGAAAAAGAAATCATGTCATCAAGGGTGGAGGAGGCCCATAAAGCACATGGCAAAAGAAAACATCATAAAAAGCACAGAGAATGCAAGAGATCATAAATATGAGTGCAAAGGGGGCAGCGGAAGAGAATTTCACCAGCGGCTAAAACCACCTCCTCCATACATCATCGAAGGATTGTACCCACCTTGACCCTGGCTCCCGTACAACGCTTGCCCAGCAGTAGCATTGCCACCAACTTGCTGCATCCTTGCCTGTAAGATGCTCGGGTCCGCAAGATCTACTACACCACCTCCACCGGAGGAAGTGTTAGCGTGTCTGTGCTTCTTCCCCTTCTTCTTCTGTTTCTGTGGGCCACCGGATTCGGGTGCTACACCCGCCTGAGACCCATAGAAAGAGCTGAGAAGGCCATTGACGGGAGTCAGGGGAGGTGGGGTTTGGTGCTGTTGAAGAAAAGGGAACATGAACTCACGCTTTACGGCCTCCTGGCCTTGTACTCCACCCACATTTGCGCCACTTCGACCACGCAGTAATTCACGCATCAATTCGGGGGTCGCATCTTGCTTCCCGATAGTACCTCCAAGTCCGAGGTTAGCATTGGCGGTAAAGCCGTGCCCCTGTGCAAACATGCCACCACCGCTGATAGGGGGGAGTTCCTGCTGTCTTCAAGCCAGGGGGAGGACCCTGAACGCCGCTTGCATAAAAACCACCGGCAAGGGTATGTTGGGGGCTTGGTGCCGACAAAGGGTTCGGTGTCCCAGACTGCATCTGACTCAACATCCGAGCGTTGCTGATGTTCTTTGTGCCAGTTTCGTTTAGAGCGAATCGTGAAGATTGGCGGCCTTGAGCTTGCAATGCATTTAATTGAGCCATTTGTGTTTGCAAAAGTCCATGGCGTACTTGGTTTGCCTGGTCAACAGCAGCCGAGTTCAAAGAATCAGACAATCCAGTCTGCTGGTTTCCAGCTGACTTTAAAAGCATCAACTGCTGCTGCTGGAGTGGAGTCAAACTGCGACCAGCCAGGTTGAGACCCTGAAATTGGTGGCTTGTCGCAGAAACAGGGGATCCGACGGTTGAGTTATCAGCAGTGCCTTGTTGAGAAGTAGGTGGCTGAATAGCGCCATGCGATTCGCGGGTTTGTCGGGCTTGAGGGGCGGGGGAATTCTCGGGCTCCCCTCCTAATTGAAGGCTTCCGGCTTCGCGGCTGTCTTCTTCGGTCGCGACAGACTGGAGAAGCTCTTGCTCCCGTTTGATTCGTTCCTGTTCGGCCTTTTCGCGCATTGCGCGGCGCTTAACGCCGCCATAGGGGTCAATAAATGATGGGTAGGATTGGATGATCTTCAGCTCGTCAGCTGGAATATCGGCTGTTGAAAAGGAAAATCGGAAGTCGGGAGACATGAAGTCCTTGAGGACATTCTCCCAGGCGATTTCTGAAGGTGACTTCTCATCGCGAGGTCTTGGTTGGGTGACACTTGGTTGGGTGACACTTGGTTGGGTGACACTTGGTTGGGTGACACTTGGTTGGGATTGAGGTTGGGTGGTAGGAGAACGTGCTTCGGGTGGAGATGCTCGTTGTGCGGCCTGAACAACTGGTGACGGTTTCTCGGAGCGCCTAGCTTCTTCAGAGGCCGTTGCAATGTTCACACTGGCAGGGCGAGGGCTTTGCGATGCCTGGCTACCAGTCAAGCTCGTCCTCCTTGTCCGGATTGTTGCGTTCATATCCTTGTTCGCCCAGCTGGCAGACGAAGGAAGGGCAGGGCCATCTGGAATGGATTGCCGCCCGGTGATCGAGTCGTCCTTGCTTGGCTGCCGGCGCATTTGGTGGGCGATTGGCTGGCCGAGGCGAGAGTGAGTAACCTGAGGTGTTGGGTTCGGGCGCTGGCTAGACAACGAATTCATAGAAGAAAGGTCAGACCGAGTATAGCTTTCGCTATCCTCGCCGGTCTCGTGCAAGAAAGTGCAGTTGCGATTATTGCATTGCTCGTTCCGGAGGAAAGATGAGCAATACTTCGTCGTTCCGTACTGCGCCCGCAAGACACGGTCCCCATTCGCAGAGCCATCAACGGCGTTGATACAAGTTGCGGCATCCAGTTTGCGTGTGAAGGTCACATAAACCCCAATACCCTGGTGAGGGTTACCACCGGGCTTCGCCTTGCTGACCACAATCTTCTCGATATCACCGTATTGTCCGAAGTACTCCTTCCCGCGCAACGTTTGGAGGAGTTGGTTTTCGTCGCGAATTGTCGGATTCAACCCGATCACATAAACCAGGTTCTTTTGGACCACGCGAACGCCCGCCAAATTCTTCCGGCTGGAGGCTTCGATTTCACGTTTCTCTGCTTCCTTCTTCTTGGCGGCGGCCGCCTTGCGATGCTTCAATGCTAGATCTGCCTTGAACCTATAAGATCGGAACCGTGTCAGCGGTTTCGTTGTGTGGGTAGGACTTTTGAGGAGCAGGGAAAGACTAACTCTTCGGCGTCGGGTATCTTGTATTGAATCGTACTGTCATCGTAGGCACGGCGGCAGTTCGGGCATCGACCCTCGTCATTTTGGGTTTTGATATTGTTGTAACAGAACTGGCAAATCTGCAGGGGCGGTAAGTGTTAGTATCGCCGATGGGAGTGGCGCACAAAATGGAGGTCGATTTCGGCTCGGTTGGGCTGGACGTACTTGATATCCACAGGGACACGGTTTGAAGTTCTTGTCCGAAAGGTCGAACTCTTCGATACAAAGGGGGCTGGCAAGCGGGTCAGTTTCCTAGTTGCATGGTCATCCTGAAGAATCCATCATACCAAAACTCATCGTCATCGTCGATGACGGAGTCAATCTGTTGGCGACTCGACATGGTCACTGTGAAAGCTGGGGGAGAGCCGGGGGAGGAGACAAAGGCGACAAGTGAAATTCAACGCCGGGACCCAATCAAAAAGGCGGGTTCAAAGTAAAAACAGGGAGGATAACACTACTCCAGGTCCGGAAAAATGGAAACGAGGAACGAGAAAGAGAAAAGGTGGAGGAGAAGAGGGTACGTTGGATGATGAGGGCGAGGGAGGGAGAAGATTTGGCGCGGCTTCCATTTTGCTGGCATTGCCTGATTGCGTTTAGCGTTTACAACGGGTTATGTCAGCCACACGTGATTAGGCAGGTTCGACCAACCTCCGGCCTCACAATCCCAATTACGTTTGTCCCCTCCTGCCGCAGCCGTGTTGCTCCCTTCTCCCACAATGGCATCCGCACGTTCTCTAATGCGCCTGGGCTCTGGCCGGTCGGTGGCTTCGGCCTCCAGGTTCATGGCTAGCCGCGCTTTTTCCTCGACTTCTCTCCAGTACGCTGCTAAGGCCTCGACAGCACCGGGCCCGGAGCCGGAGAACATGCGCCAGGCGCAACGGCCTCGTACGTGAAACCCTTCGACATTCAATGATACCAATTGCAATTGAACTAACTGGATCTCGTTATTCAGCCTCGGGACCCCTCCGTGCTCCCCGTGTCAACCCCACCGACAAGTACCAGGACAAGCAGGACAGTCTGCACACCTATGGACAGTACATCATGTCCTGTCTGCCCAAATACGTTCAGCAGTTCACCGTCTGGAAGGATGAGCTTACCGTTTATACCGCCCCGTCCGGCGTCCTCCCCCCTCATGAGCTTCCTGAAGAACCACACCGCCGCTGAATTCACCCAAATTTCCGACATTACTGGCGTCGACTTCCCCACCCGTGATCAGCGTTTCGAGGTCGTGTACAACTTGCTCAGCGTCCGTTTCAACTCCCGTATTCGTGTCAAGACTTACTGTGACGAGGCCACCCCCGTCCCTAGTGTCACCGGTCTGTTTGAGGGTGCCCTGTGGTACGAGCGTGAGGTTTACGACATGTTTGGTGTCTTCTTTTCAGGTCACCCCGATCTGCGCCGCATCATGACCGATTACGGTTTTGATGGTCACCCTCTGCGCAAGGACTTCCCCTTGACCGGTTACACCGAGGTGCGATATGATGAGGAGAAGAAGCGCGTCGTCGTCGAGCCTCTTGAGCTCACCCAGGCCTTCCGTAACTTCGAGAGCGGCTCTACTGCCTGGGAGCCTGTCGGACCCGGCGAGTCACGCACGCCCGACTCCGTAAGTGCCCTTCCTGCCGTAGATTTTGAAACAATTGCTAATCTACTGCGATACAGTTCAAGCTTGCCACCCCCAAGCCTGAGGAGAAGGTGGAAGAAAAGAAATAGAGAGATTCTGTATGCGTATTACCACTTTCTTTGCCATGTCTGTATGTACATATCGTTAATCGAAGGTGTTTTCACCCTCCGCATACTTTCCGCTGTAGCTCCATAGCAGCAGTAGTAGTAGTAGCCCCTCGATACCGTTTTATGCCGCTCCGAGAAAACAAACTTTGGAACTACGAGCGAAATTGAACCACAGAGGTTTACTATTTCGATCTATGTCTACCGACCTAGTAGCTTCATCATCAATTGCAGCCGTTTCTGCTTCGAAATGTCGTGGTTGCCAGTTTAAATAGTAACCTTGCCCAGGTGGAAATGATAATTCGAGGTCCTCATAGGCGCGAGGCGGAGAATCTTGGCAGATGCCTAGAGTGATCCGCTCCAGAAAAAAAAAATATCTCCGCATCTCCGACTTTTATTTAAAACAATACCACCTCGAAAAGTCCCCCTCGTTTTCGTCGCATTACTACGCCCTTGCAAAATATCGATCAGTGAATTCTCAAAAATCCACCGCTCTGCAGAAATCGAAAACATGCCGAAACGCAAGCATGGTGACACCGACGGCCCCGCGCGGTCCAGCGACAAGGCGCACCGCAAGATGTCCATGAAGGCCGTTCGACTGGGTGTCAAGTTTGAGCACGGAGTGCAAATGATTGTTCGAGGACTCAAGACTGCGCGCGGCTTCGAGAGACAAAAGCTCAGCCGGCGAGAAAAGACTGCGAGATCAGAGAACTCGGAGAATACACGCATGACTCTGCTGAAGCTGGCGGAGGAAATTGAAGCGCTGAAGGTATGGATGGACTGCCCAGCCGCTGTTTTTTTATTGCGCGATTTGAAAATTCCCCCACTTGCTAACTTTTTGTTTGTCCACTAGTCGCTTGATTATCAGAAGACCGCCGAGCGATACCTTTTCAAACAACTGTCTAAGACGAAGCGCATTGCGGAGCTGCCGACGTTCAAGGAATTCGAAGAGTCTAAGAACATCTCTACCGAGGGACCCAAGAGTACTGCGGAGGCAAATATCCTGGCGCGTCTATTTAAATCAAATCCAGTCAAGAATTTGATGCCTAACATGCTCGCCGAGATTCGGAAGTTGCTCGGCGTGGATGAGGCTCCAGCTGGCAAGAGTGGCATGAAGGAAGCTCAAAAGGACAAGCCAAAGAAAATCCAAGCCGACCCCGAATCCGACTCCAAAGATGAAGCGCCACTCAAGAAGACCGAAAAGAAGAAGAAGCCTACCAAGGATGCTGAGCCGGACTCGCAGCTTGGTGACGATATCAGTGGTTCTGAAGGTGAAGGATTTGATAGCGATCAACTGGAGCAATTCAATTCACGACTGGCACCAGGATCAGATGCCGAAGATGAATCCGAGTCAGAGGACGCTGATGAGAGTGGAGGCCTTGGTCCAGACGACATCTCCGACTCAGTCGAATCCCGCTCATCATCTCCTGATTTCTCCGATGCGGGATCGCCTCCGCCTAAGAAAGCCAAAGGAGCCAAAGCATCTGCCGCACCGGTAAAAGAAACGACATTCCTGCCATCTTTGATGATGGGCGGCTACTGGTCCGGCTCAGAAGAAGCAAGCGAAGACGAGGCGGCTGGCCCGCCGAAGCGCAAGAACCGCATGGGTCAACAGGCTCGTCGCGCTCTCTGGGAGAAGAAGTACGGTGCTGGTGCAAACCACGTGAAGAGCGAGCAGCAACAGGAGAGGAGCAATCGGGATAGTGGATGGGATACGAAGCGAGGAGCAACCGGTGGTGGCCGTGGAGGATACGGTGGGCGGCAGCAGAACAGGTACGATGATCGGTCAGGATCTCGTCCACAGAGCAGCAAACCGCCCAGGCCTAAGGAAGATGAGGGTCCCTTGCACCCTTCTTGGGAGGCCAAGAAGAAGCAAAAGGAACAAGCACCCGCTGTTTTCGCAGGAAAGAAGGTCACTTTCGATTAAGGATCTCAATTTTGTATTTCAACTGCCATTTGAGCGAAAATACTACTATGCATATATGTCAACTTGGAAATTGTCATTCTCGTATTGAAGTGCTATACTAGTGTATAAAAACCAAATACTGCCGTGATGGCAGAACGCCCCTAGTAGGAACTACCGCACCCCAAAAGGACCTTATCAACAAGAACAGCCCGCGAAATGGTGTATCAACTAAGCAAAATAATGGAAATCGAGAGAAAGGCTCGATATGGATGATAGAATCGCTGGGTAATAAAGGAGTCACGTTCCAGGTGATTCTACTTCTCACTCATTCATGAACTGTAACCAATGCGAATCGGGATTGCCTGAAGGATTCTTGAGGTCAGTGCCAACAAGACCTGGAGGGTTACCTTGGTTATCCGGTTCGAAGCATGGAATGGCAGTGAATTCGCCCAATTCCTGCGGGAAGTTGGAAACGAAATGATCGAAGCCAAAGTGAGGCATTTGAGTAAGAGACGGGTGTGAAAGGGAAAAGTTGTCTGACGCAGAGAGGCCACTGCTTGGCATGTCTCCTTCCAGCAAGTCTTGATCCATTCCACCAATTCCATGCTCAGAATTGGCAGTGTTTGGGGGTAGAGGGAGACTGGGGGATGTGATGGAGATGCCTGAACCAACGGCGCCGGCGACAGATGGGCCAGGGGTTGGGTGTGATCCTACGCCTTGTTGGACAGCGGAATCATATGCTTCTTGCTGCTTCCATGCCATGGTGGAAGGTGACACTGGACCGGTCTTCCAAAGCATCTCCCAATTCTTGAACCGATCGTAGGCGGATTCCATGCTGTTTCCGTTGCTCTGAGTCTGTTGAGATTCGCTCCACATCTCAAGACGACGAATAGCGCGTTCGAGAGCTTCGATGACGCTAACAGCTGAGCGTGCAGAGCCAACGCCCATCGACATAATCTTAATCAGAGAGATGCCCTGTTCGAGAGCTGCACCGAGACGTTCGGTCCGTTTTGCTAGGCCTTGGGCCAAAATCACTAGGAGTGCCGCACGACATGAGCTGAACTCAGTGAAGGAGGCACGAGCGAGTCCAGTTTCATCTCGGAGAAGGCGACAGAGGTCGATAATTTCCAGAGCCGCTTCAACACAGTCTGTGACAAGAGTAGCTCGACTCTTGGATATTCCCGATGGGCCCTTAAAAGCAGTAGGCGTTTGAGAAAGAGCCCTTATATTGCTGAAGAGGAACGGCCGGCCTATAAATATCCGAGTGAGACAGTAATCGAGTTTCAGGTGGACGTTGGAGCGGAAGAGGACTCCGCTTGGGTTGAGGTCGCGGCAGCTTGACTCTTCCGGTAGTGTGGACCACCATTCAATCAGATGTTTGCGGATATTCAGAAGCCTTTCAAGACAATCTTGCTGTTGGCCTTTGGGACAAGTCCGGAGCGAGGTACTATGATCCAGTCAGTAGGAATACCTTTGATAGGCACGGAGAAAGATGTCTTACATCTCATTCGATACTTGACCGAGTTTTAATGTCAGTGTAATAAGGGCAATCATGTTCGTATGGTTTGAAGGTTGCGAAGCTGGCATCAAGCTAGGGAAATCAATGGGGAATGGTGCATCGACATCAGCATCGGCTAATGATGCTGGTCTGCCATGTAGAATACTGATCCGCCTATAGTATGATTAGAACCAATGTAAGGACTTGGGACAAGGGGAATTTACTTCTCAATCGTGTATGATGTCCAGAACACGCGATTTCTGGTTTCGATCATGCGTGGCGAAAGGCCTTCTCCATGATATCTTCGGTGCATTCCATTTTGAATAGCAAGCTTGAGTGCCAGGCCAAAGTATGTATAGCACAGTCCTGATGTATCCAGGGGCAGGAGATATGTTCCGATCAGCAGGCAAGCTTGCACACTACGCACAGATGCAGTCGCAATAATATCTGGCAAGAGTTTCGACGCAAACTGATAAAATGTTAAACCGACCTCATCCTCCGAGAAATGGTGATCTTGTGCAGCATCCGAGGGAATACAGTTGACTGGCGTAGACGATTCCATATGCGCAAACTGAGTACCAACTGCCAGTACCATGAGGATAGCACAAACTGCACCGGCGTCATCGGAGGATAGGTCAGATGGGTTGGTATAGCAAATATTTAGCTTTTCACAAAGCCAATCCTCTTCCACATAGAAGTTATTCGTCTGAGCGTACTTGAAGAAGATCTGGACGAGAAAGTCGGCCACATAGCGTGGCGGCAGACAAGTAATCGATGCTGAAACTAGAGGAGATGCGGACTGAAGTTGAGTGGCTCGCCATCGATCCTCAAACGGCTCGACTTCTGTGCTGGCCTGCAAGAGTGGGTTAGGATTGATGGACTGCAAGAGAAACGGGGAGACGTAGCAGTCCTTACATCTGGGGCTGCAGTTTTCATCCAGCCGTCAATTTTCTTTCGGATTTTCTCCGAGAAGTTCAAATATGAGAATTCTCCAGAATATTCTGTTGCCGCAATTTGGTAAGCCATAGGCAGCGATCATCACGCGACGAGTTGCACTCACGAGTTGTATTATCCGGGAGCGCCTTAATTGTAAAGTCCTCTTCATCAATCGCAAGGTCTTCTAGCTCATTGGCATCGACCTTGGTAGAAAGTACATCGGACTCCGAATCACGGCGTTTGGCGTTTAGCTCGTCGGCCGCCTGTCGCAATGACTGGATGTCGAAAGTGATATTGGGAACATAGTGTGAAAGAAGGCGCTCCATACAGCGCACACGCTCTGCCTCTGCGATTTCATGCCGACTCACCGAGGCAGCTCGATCCAATAGTCTATGGCCGGGGATTCGATCCGTCAGTCACGAGGGCATTTATGCAAGGGTCGACACCGCCAGAACTTACGATACAGAGGTGGAACGGGTCTTCTCGGTCGGATCTATATGTGTGAAATTGCATTGTCGACGATAGCGGAGACAGCGGCGACATGGCACACCACCTTCGCACTTCTCCTTCACTCTGCGACAACCATCACATCTGCGAAATGGAACAATTTAGCGGGCCGACTTTCTCTAGAGGGGATCCCTTCACCACAATCCGGGGGATCTGCATACGCTCGGACAGCTCGCTTGCGATTTTCTTCGGCCACGCGAGGGCGTTTCTGTTGGGCGGGAGTCGAGGTCGGGTCGTCCATTACAGGCACAGGCGGTGTCAACGTGGGCGAGGGCCGGGCATCGTCTGCGGAGAAGGCGGCGGGGAAGGGAAACGGCGCCCACGAGTTGAAGAGGGCTTAGAATGGGGGGGAGGGGTTGACGTGATCGTAATGTGCAATGTAAGAAGAGCAAGATTTAGGGAAGTCGGAAGGTCGGGAAGAAGGAGAGAAGCGGACTTATAATTGGAGACGGAGACGGAGAGACGATCAAGCGCGCAGAGGAGAAACCACGGCTCGCCGCCCCGCATCCTGGCAGACTCTTGCAATCCGCCCCGGTCTTGGCCCAAAGGTATAGAAAAATAAAATTGATGAAAAATTACATATGCGGTTCCTATATTTTTATTTCATCTATTCGACGTGATCGAAGATACATTCATTGAAATTTATCTCAAAGCTCCAACCCAAAAATATAGCACGTAGTGTCAGACTAGGGTTCCCATCGGCGCCCAGTCCGATCGCCCGGCATAGACTATCCGGCCAGCACAGACAGTCTGATAAGCCAATTTCCTTAGGATCCCCTTTATTATGTAGACTGGGACGATCACTAGGTATGAGTATGCTAATCTCTCACCGGGGCTAACGAAAATGCTTATCTACATCCACTATATTAGCTACTACATACTAGTAATCCACAAAAATGAATCTACTTCCAAAACCCCACGTGCTGAAAGAATTCAGAGGATACCACTGCTGCACGTAGCATACAAGTCACAGTACTATATTGAAACACGTATGATCTACCCTACCTATCGTAACGTAAAGTTAATATGCGGAGCAACTCTCAAGGTTGCACTCCTAAAATCCATCAACCTGAGTCCCCAGCCCCAGTTCAGCCCCAACATCTAATACCTTCTTTCCAATCACCAGGTCCATCAACCCCATCCCCACACATTTATAAATCACATTAGCACCAGTCGGAATCTCAACCCCCTCGCCAGGCCCAATAGAAGCCAATAAATCGCCCATCTCCGTCAATTGATCCCCCTGAACCCCCGCCGTAATCAACTCCCCCGATTCCTCCAGACAAGCCGACTTAGAATCAACATAGATCCTCCCACCCCCCGAAAGCAGGGTTTCAGTATCAATTTCATGCATGGGAGGCTTATAAGACCCAATGAGAGAAATAAACCGCTGCTTCGGCACAGACCGCAGAGCCGAGAACGAGAAATTCGGCTGCAGAGAAGGCGTGCATGAGAAAATGACATCGGAAAACTGCAATTCTCGCAACAAGGTCTCGTCATAATGCGGCGTGTCCTCCTTTGAAATAGTGGAGATGCTGATGCCTGGATTCCGCACTCGCAGGTCCCCAAAGACATCGCGCTCCATTTCATTTAGTCGGGCCCGGCTCCGATTCACAAAGACTACCCGCCGGATTTGTTCCGGGTACAAGAGTAATGCGAGACGAGCGTGCCATTCTGCCTGTCGACCGGAGCCAAAGACGAGAATGTTTTCCTTTTTAATGTCGTGGCTGCGCACGAAGAGGGTCATTGATGCGAGCGCGGTGCGGAAGGCTGTGATCTCGGCCGCGGCGAGAAGGCCCTGTAAACGGCCGTCTGGGGAGAAAAGGTTAATCACGCCTTGGATGCCGCCGGGTGCGACGGTCACGCATTTGATGCCTGTTGTCTCTGTGTTGGAGACGGGCATGAAGATGCATGTATTGTCGGCTTTTGTGGCGAAGACTGTTCGCAGGGGTTGGTGGATCAATTTGTCTTCGGCTGGAACTGTTGGTTTGGATTCAGCGGAGATGGCTACGAGGGCCTTGCCCAGTTCTGCGATGAACTCGTGGCATTGAGATTGTGTTAGAGTGCGGAACAACTTGGCCACGTCGGGCTCCGAGAGGATGTGCATCTTAGATGATGAGGTAGGCGTCTTTGTTTGAGATGGGGTTTAGTATATGTTCTCCGGGACTCGTCGCTTTTCAATTGATTGCGGAGGGGAAATTGTATTTGAAGTAGGTGTGTATCAGTGCGGAGGAGGGGGATATTGGCAGTGGCAGTCCCAGGCGACGACTGCTACTCCGGAGAGAGGGGCAACCGGCACTGGCAGCGGGGAGATCCACAACTTGTTCAGTAAGTTCGAGCAGGCGGTTCCGGAATGGAGCACGCGGAGGGCAACAAGTTCCGCACACGCGACCATGATTGGCTACATTTAAATCTACTTTGATTTAAGATACTGATAGTTCTATAGTCTTTGGATTTGAACATCGAATTTATTCATTATGAAACAGCAAACGTGACTCGTGAAATGCTAACGCCCTCTATAGATGCGTCCCAGTAGTGGGGGGTATGCGCAATGCAGGAAAAGTTCCCAGAAGTGCCCCAGTCGGGTCACAGAAAATGGGAGAAACAAAAAGCAAGACAGGGATTGCTCCCTTCAGTGAGGTGCAGCTCAGTTGCTACGGGCGAAAACGTTGCGGCAGCGACGCTTCAGCTCGGCGAACATAGCGATCTGGGAATCCTTGGTGCGACCAACAGCCTCAGTGTTCTCAATAGCACGGCGCAGCAGGAAGCCCATGCACTCCTGGACAGAGCCCCAGGTCAAAAGCTTGAAAACGTTGGGGGCAGCGATAGGCGAGGCACCGACACTGCTTTCGGCGTTTTCGAAACCCTCGAGCAGCTCACAGCTGACCTCGTCGGCCATTCCCTGGAGTTGGGCGTAGCTGAGATCAACATCATAGTTCTCACCACGAACAGCCTGCTCCATGCGGATAGCGTGGGCCTTGCGAACAGAGTCACGGTTGTGGGTGGCGATAATGACATCCAGGGAAGGGAGCTCGGTAGGAGTGTCCTTAGTGGGAGCCTGGAGCATGGAGTTATACTTGCGGGTGAGAAGAGCCTCGACAACCTCGTCGTAGCAACGATCAGTGTCCTCCTTTTTAGCCCAGATCAGGTGGCGGGGTTCAGTCTTCATGTAGGCACCGCGGACGAGCTTCACGCCGAGGGTATATCCCTCTTGGCGAGCAGTTTCAAGGTGGCGAGCGAGAGTAGCGGGAGTCGAGCGAAGGTATCCTTGGTAGGTTCCATAGAAGATGGCGCGGCCGGGGGTCTGGGAGTTGCAGTACTTCTGGTACTTCATGATCCAAGCCTCAATGCCGGGTTGCACAGCCTGCTCCTCGGCATCCACAAGAAGGCGCACACCGCGGGAGATAGCCAGGTCGCAGACCTTTTGGATGGAGGCATCCATAAACTCAGTAGGCTCGGCTTCCTTCTGGAGGAGACCCAGAGCATCAGTGCCCATTCCAGTGAACTTGAGGGCAACGAAATCGCCCTGCTGAGCCATATCGACAGTTCGCATAGTACCATCGAACCACATCTGGATCTCAGCCAGAGCGGCCTTCTCATCACGAGTAGCATCCTGGTTTTCTCCGACCAGAACCTCGCGAGCATAGCCGAGCAGGACACCGCGGCATCCCAAATTCTTGATGTTTCGGATAGATTCCTGGACCTCGACCTTGTTCTCACCAGCGTTGAATTGCTTGTAGATGGTGTGCTTGACAAGGAAGTTCAACAGTGGGTTCTTGGACACATCCCAGAAAGCAGAGCGAGGGTGTGCCAGGTGAGAAAGTGTATAGATGCAAGGCTTCAGGAGGATAGGAGAAGAGGAGACGGAAAGGACTAGCAAAGAGCGCAAGACCGAGGAGAAGGGAAGCTTGGCGAGGGGAGCTGCCAGCGACTTGCGTGGTGGGGGCGGGGACTGGGTAAATTGTTGCAGGATGTTGCTAGCAGCGACGGAGGATCTGGTGTTGCTAGTACCACTGACGAAGCGAGCGTTGGCACCAGTGGTGCCAACTCGCACCGCGCGTGCAGTCTTCATTGATGTGTATGTGTGGTGTTTTGAAGATGAGTAGGTTGTAAAGATAAGAATGGGAAGGAGTTATGGGAAGGAAGAAAGGAAGAAAAACCAAAGATTGGTTCCGCTGAAGAAGTATGAAGAGTTCTGGTTGGTAGAAGAGAGTGAAAGAGTCAGGGCCGATACCTTTTTGCCAGGGCCTTAATAGTTTTAGTTGTGACAAGACCCGGTGGCAAGCGTCTGACACCGGTACGGTGAATGGGACTGCCGGTAACCACTACTTACTCTATTGGAGACTACAACCCCAGACATTCTCGGTGAATGTGCTGTTATGGAGCATGGGATTAGGTACGGGAAACCGGGTCGGTCAAGGACTCCGAAATTATTATTCATAGAATTCGTGAATGAATGATGTGCACATATCTTTTCTGGACTGATTTTTACTGTTTATACTAGGATACCCCACAACCCGACCCCCGACCCCGACCTATCGGCACGTCCTGCCTTTAGCATGCATCAAAGCGTTCAAACGGACTCGCCAAGTGGTGGTCGGGGCAGGGATCCGACTCATGATAGCCTTGAATTTCCCCTTTCTGGTCATGTCACGAGGTATCCGGCAAGGGACTCCCCTGGAAAATCCTCGTTCGTGAGCATCTAAAAATGCTGCAGGATGACGAGAGCCGCTTGCCACGGGCCGGTTGGCTACTAGACTAGGCTTAGTGCGATCTCAGTGGGAAGCTGCATGCTCCACTCTTCACTCTTCGCCCACTCTGCTGCCCACTCTGCTGCCCACCGCGTAGCCGCCAACCGGCCCGGTCAAGTCAGGTGATACAGTCAGGCGCTTCATAACCATAGGTTGTGGGTAGATACTGACTAATAGCAGTCTATTGACGATGATTGTTCGGATCCTCCTTCCAACCGGACATATTCTGTAGCAGTACACAGTTCTGCTGTATGGACTACGTCGACGATGTAGATCTTTTGGCTGTTCAAGTCCACGCGAATCCTGGGGAAGGGCTTTCATTAAAGAATGGTCAAAGCGCAGCTCTATGCTTATTGTGGGTTAGTTCGCGGATCTTTGTCATGCAGGCAAATTTTTGAAATATTCACTATGTCCAATACTAGGAATACTGGTTATTTTATTTGTAGATATTGTTATGTTATCTATAAACTGATCTTTAACTTACTGGAGGCATTCATTATGCACCGCACGTACTCATAGCTATTCAATAACGAGTACGAGTATTCAGTATTTCAGTATTGAATACTCGTACTCGTAGGATTGTACAGGTGGGGAAAGACCTCGGCGGGTCTGACCAACCACCGTCGACTCCGGCCCGGTGACCCCACCCGGATTCTTGCCGGCCACTGCTGATTTGCCTTCAAGCTCTTTCACACCGTTCAAGTTGTACGGAGAACGGCGTGCGAGTACGAGTACAGTGACCTGTGGCCGCAATGCGAACACTGCACCGGCGGTAGCCGGTCATTTCATCATTGGTACCCCGCGTTCTACTTTTTTTTTCTCCTCTCGACTTTCTCTTAATCTCCAACTTCTGCTGGAAGCTAGCTTTGACACTCCCATCTCTAGTTTCAATTCTACACAATGCAGTCCATCCTGCGCGCCAGAGTGCCCTTGTCGCGGTGCCAACCGTTTGTCAACCGCATCCAGTCGCGTACCCTTGGTACCTACGCGACTTTCAAGATCCCCCAGATCAACAACGAGCCGAACGTGAGTAGCTTTGCAAGGACGCGATGCATCATCGGCATAGCTAATTGACCCTCTTTAGAAACACTATGTTCCCGGTTCCCCGGATCGCAAGGGTCTGGAGGATGCCCTCGCTTCCTACAATCAGCAATCTCCACTGAACCTGCCTCTCATCGTCGCTGGCAAGGAGATCAAGACCTCCGAGACCTTCACCCAGAGCAACCCGGCCACCCATGCCCCCGTTGCTACTTACTCCAACGCCTCCAAGGCCGATGTTCAAGCTGCCATTGACGCCGCTCTCGCCGCACGCAAGTCGTGGGCTGATACCCCCTTTGCGGAGCGCGCCAGCATCTTCCTGAAGGCTGCCGATCTGATCTCGACCAAGTACCGTTACGATATCATGGCTCTGACCATGCACGGCCAAGGCAAGAACGCCTGGCAGGCGGAGATTGACTCGGCCGCAGAACTCATCGATTTCTTCCGCTTTGGAGTCAAGTACGCCGAGGAGGTCTATGCTCAGCAACCCGTTCACCACGCCCCCGGTGTCTGGAACCGCCTGGAGTACCGCCCTCTCGAGGGTTTCGTCTACGCCATCAGCCCCTTCAACTTCACTGCCATCGGTGGTAACCTGGCTGGTGCTCCCGCTCTGATGGGTAACGTCGTTTTGTGGAAGCCCTCTCCCGCTGCCATGGCCTCCAACTGGCTTGTTCACCAGATCCTCCTTGAGGCCGGTCTGCCCAAGGACGTCATCCAGTTCGTTCCCGGTGATGCCGAGGAGGTCACCAGCACCGTTCTCGAGAACAAGGAATTTGCCGCCCTCCACTTCACTGGCAGCACTGATGTCTTCCGCTCGCTGTATGGCAAAATCTCCCAGGGTGTGGCGGATGGCAAATACCGCAGCTACCCCCGTATCGTGGGCGAGACCGGTGGCAAGAACTTCCACCTGGTCCACAAGTCCGCCGATGTGCGTAACGCCGTGGTCCAGACCGTCCGTGGTGCCTTTGAGTTCCAGGGCCAGAAGTGCAGTGCCACTTCCCGTGCCTACGTCGCTTCTTCCATTGCCGACGAGTTTGTCGAGGGCGTAGCTGCTGAGGTCAACAAGCTGAAGATTGGCGAGCCCACCGAGTTCTCCAACTTTTGTGGCCCCGTTATCCATGAGGGTTCCTTCAACAAGCTCGCCGGTGTTATCGATGAGGCCAAGAGCGACCCCGAGCTTGAGCTCCTGGCTGGTGGTTCTTATGATTCTTCCAAGGGATGGTACATCCAGCCCACTGTCTACCGCACTGCCAACCCCGACCACCCTCTCCTTTCCCGCGAGCTTTTCGGACCCGTCATCGTCATCCACGCCTATAAC